GAGCGCAAGACGTACTTAGCCATGGCGTCAGACCACCCTTAAATTTCATCTTAATCAGTAGGGCAAAAGTGTGACTGTCTTCCAAGCATGCCTTCTCCTAGACCGAATGATTCAATGGTTTGCAAGCAGCGCGAGGTTCCTCCACCGGTCATGCGATTTGTCAGCCCGTGGGTCATTTCATGAGCAATAATGTCGTTTTCGAGCGAGCCATCGCGATTAGGCTGCGAAAGCAAGTTATGAGGAAGTTTCCATCGAAGGAAAAACAACTTACCGTGGTGAGATCCTAGAGATACATTCCTATAATACTAAAAATAAGTTGGGTCGATCGCAGGAGTCGGGAATGGTATTACTCATAAAACCAGGTGTGCCGCTTAAAGATAACACGTGTAAGTACTGTGCCCATGGAAAGATAGTAAATCGACCTACTCAGCAGGAGCAGAAAAGGCGGCATTATTTACTCCGGACGCCTGCACGGAGATCTCCACGCGGTCATTCTCGCTTCCTCCAAGACCAAAATTGTTCTGCTGAAAGTTGTACGCCGTCTCCGTAAAGCCATACCTTCAGGTCGCGCTGTCAACCGCTGGACACGTCGCGAATAGGAAACCAACTTGCCTATAAAGGAAATCGTGCATCGTGTTGACGACGTAGAACGCGTTCGTGCGTGCCGCATCGAGATTGCCTTGGACTGTCGGTGCTGCTGTGGGGTCGTGGACGTAGATGAAGTTAAGAGGGCTTGAGGATTCGCTAGTGACACCCGACTGGGATGTCTTGAACGCGATGGCATTGTTGCCCCTGGAAATCGATGTTGGCTAAGATGGCTTGGTCGAAAAAGGAGACTTCAACGTACGTCGTAGTCCTTCAATATTTGTAGGGTCTAAGGCAAAGAAAACCGTTTGGTAGAGAAAATACATACGTGAAACTAGCATTCTGGGTCGCGTGCCAGCCAAGCGGGGATGCCTGGAAATCTTGAGGATCCGTCAAGATTTCAAATCCCTCGGTGAGGACTTGTTTCTGGGCAGGGAGGACAAGATACTGTTTTCGAAGGGATTTAGGGACCACACTTGGACTAAGCGTAATAATAGAAGAATCCTTACACTGGCTTTCGAAACGAAGTCAACCACCGACACGAGCTCGTCAGTATGTGCATCTATGAAAGCTTCAGCCCAGGTGTTTTCATACTCGTTTTTAACCTGGAAAACGTGGGTGAGGACAACAGAATTATCGGGCTTCACGAAGTATTCGAGTGTTGCTACGGCGCCAGTGTATCTCCCGTTAAGAGCTTGCTCTGCCGTGGCGATGGCTTGCTGCAAGGAAATAGAGGGAGTGCTCAAAGCGATTGACGCTAATTCCGCCCCATTAATACAGAACCGAGTGTAAATCCGCTAGAACTCACTAGGCTTAACGAAAGATGATCCGAATGCGACAACCTGGAATATGGATTTGAGGGTCACCTGGCGAGAAATCGACCACGTATCTCACCTGATTCTTCTGGTTGAAGGCAACATTTGCCACTGCGTTGGCGAACGGTACTCCGTTCTATAAATGCTTGAATTCAACTGTGGGCCTTTTAATCCGGGGGGATACTTGCATGCGTTTGCTTTAGGTAGGTATAATGTATCTTGTCACCCGTGTATGCGGACCTGAACGAGACAGCGGCAGGTCGCACTGAAAGTCGAGAGCAGACGAAAGCCTTCGCCGCGTCCTTTATGTCGAATCTCTGCCTTCTCGACAATGGGTGATCAATTCCGCTTCCGAATGCCTATACGAAAGAGGGTCCAACGACACGTCTCCTGGTGTGGAGGATACATACCTCGAATGTGCTCGGAGGATGGTAGCTTTCGACGTCAACCCCGTTCCCCAAACTCCGAACGCCATGAGTAGAGAATTTGGAGCTTGGAACCGATCCCGCGGTCGTGGCATATAAAACAGCAAGGAACACTGAAAGTAACAGACTCTTGCGAAGCTCCATCGTGGCAGAATGTGCAGGAAAGGTGAAGCGACGGCCTCGTAGTCGCGATTTACTTATATGATCATTTGACAGGAACGCTTTGGGGTTCGCGTGATAACTTCTTGACCACATGGATTGGACGCAAAATCAGATGGAGATGTTCGCCTACGGACTCGCGAGAAGGCATTACAAAAGATTACGAACCAAACTGAGTGAAACGCGAATCTCTTTGCTGCAATGTAAGGACAGGTAAGGACGTCAGGAGATCGTCGCATGGCAGGTCGACTACTATGTAGTCTAGTCAAGGCTAGTCATTAAGGTAGGCAATACCCCAAGGCACTTCATTTGGACTCCGCCGGCAGCTCCCGGAAAGCGGTTTGGCAGACTTGTGGAGGGCAATGGCAGCCAACGTTGAGAGAAATTTTGAATAAATTGCAGGTACAGCTACTTGGTACAAGATCCTTGATGACTGAATTAAATTCTTCTTGCGAGAATTTCAGCACCCAGCAGGAACAGAGGTGCCATCGTTGCGGTTCGCTGCGTTGGTACCCAAACCGCGGCTGGCGAATGCATTCCAGAGAATGCAGTTATTAGCGCCAGCATAGCGATTAGCGTCAGCTTGAATCCAGGCATCACGAGCGGTGAGGACTGCGGAGAGAATTAGGATTATTTTAGGATTATTGTCCAGGCACTCACAAGTTGGGTTACATGGTTGAAGCGTGAGGGCGTCAAGGAAGAGGTGAAGGAAGACGACGTTGCCCTCGGTGCCATTGGGGTTCGTGCGAGCGGTGGCAGACCAGCCGTGGGCGTTGACAAGGGCAGCGTAGACGTTGTGGAGGATATTGGCCCAAACTTCACCGATATCTGTTGTACGACACGGGCATAAGAATTGACTCGAGGGGAGAAGAAACGTATGTTCTCACCGTGAACTTCATTCAAGGTCCTTAAGCTTGAGTATCTCAAAGGGTTGACGGTTCTAATGCAAGGGAAACACGTCAGACTTTGTTTGCAGAGAAGTCGCGAGAATACTCACGCAGAAGTCGAGTACGGGTGCGAGCGAATACCCGCAGCATCGTTGATGACATATTGACCAAGGACGTAGTCAGGAACAGCACTCGAGGTCTTCTCTGTCCAGCTTTTAAAGCATTAGATGAACCTTTTGCCCCACGTTCTTGGAGATAAACCTACTCAGCCATGGCATCGGACCAACCCTCTCCCATTCCTCCGGCTTCGGTGGTTTGCAAGCAACGACCGGTGCCTCCACCGGTCATCCTGTTGGTGACGCCATGGGTATTCTCGTGAACAACGATGTCATTTTCGAGCGATCCGTCGCGTTGAGGCTAACAACAATGGATACGTTAGGCTATGGTATGGAACTTAAGAGCAAACGGAAAAGCTTACGTTGGTGATGTCCCAGAGGAACATTCCTGGATAAAGTCAGAGACAAGTTACCTCAACGAAGCACCACCTGGCGACTCACTCATGCGGCCAGACTGTCCACTACACCGAAGGGTCAGCCACGAACAATCGGACTTCCAGAAGACTGAACATACTCGGCAGGAGTGGCAAAATCGGCGTTGTCAGTTCCAGCAGAATCCTGGACAGAAACAGTGACACGATCATTCTGGGCGCCACCGAGTCCAAAGTTGTTCTGTTGGAAGTTGAAGACGCTCTGGCAATTCCGTTAGCGACTAAAGGTGCTATCTGGCCGACGATGAAAATTACCTCTGTAAAACCATAACGGTAGGTGAGGTCGTGGATAGTGTTGACGAGGTAGAAGGCGTTAGTGCGAGCAGCATCAAGATTGGCTTGAGTAGTCGGAGCAGCACTTGGGTTCTGAGTGAACACGAAGTTGAGGCCGGAAGACGACTGCGACGTCAGCCCAGTGGTCTGAGAGCTCTTGAACGCAATGACGTTGTTGCCACTTTGAGGACGAAAGCAAATCAAAAGGCTGAAATCTGATGATTTGAAAGAACATACGAAGTGGTCCTATAAGAAGAGCTCAGTTCACGGCCAAATTGTCCGTAAATGCGATGGCACTTACGTCGTTGAAGTAGTTCCGGTTGAGTGCCATCCTTGAGGAGAAGCGGTGGTATCCTGGGGGTCGGTCAGAGTCTCGAACCCTTGGGTCAATACCTGCTTCGTGATAGGGAGCACACGATACTAATCAATATCAGGTTTTAGTAAATATTTCTTTTGCTCTGAAGCAGAAGAGACGTACGGAAGCCTTGGTAACAAAGTCAGTGACAGAGACGAGTTCACCCGAGTGGGCGTCGATGAAGGCTTCGACCCAGGCCCCAGTCTCATCGTTCTCGATCTGAACGACGTGAGTAAGGACGGCAGTATTATCAGCCTTGACGACATATTCAAGGGTGGCAGGGTGGTCATTGTATTTCCCATTGAGAGTTTGCTCGGCTGCCGCGATCGCCTTTTCAACCGAGAGCGTAGGGGCTTTCGGGGCGATGCTCTCTGTAAACCGCGTCTCAGAGGCGGAAGTTGAAAAGAAACTGTGCTAGACGTACTGGGCTTCACAAACGACGATCCGAAAGCGACGACTTTGTTATTGTTGTTGAAAGCAATGTTGGCCACCGCGTTAGCGAAAGGAACACCGTCCTAAGATATGCATAAGCAAAACGCTCATGGAGAGGAGTAGAAGAGAAGGAAGACACCGGATCACTTACGTGCACCTGCTTGAGGAATGCATTGGAAGAGGCCTGTCCGGCAAAGCCAGACTTATATTTGATGGCACTAGAGTCCAACGACAGACGCGATCCAACGAATGCGATCGCAGAATCTTTCAAGTCAAAGTCGGCGCGCTTTGAGAGGGGATGATCGATTCCCGTATCGAAGGTCTACATGGAGTTGAATTAGATAGACGATCAAGATAGACGTCAGATAGGTGGACTTGCCTCATAAGTGCTCTCAGGGTGGTAAGTCTCAAGGACAAGACCCCGCGCCAAGTTACGCGTACGGTGGGTCGAGTGCTTCGACGTCGTAGGCCAAGGCGCCGCCGAAGCAGAGGAGGCGTAGGCCAAGGCGACAAAGATGGACGAAAGCAGTTTCTTGAAGCCAACCATGACGAGAAAGTGGCGCAGGAAGGGAACCCAAGCGTTAAGCCAAGAGAGGTGCCTCGACTGGGGAATGGCACCAAGACTTTCTCGCATTTATAGGACTGCTCAGAGCTCCCGTATCGACGGCCTTGTACCCAGAATTACAATCACATTGGTGGACATCAGGCAGGCCATCAGTCCTGCTTCTACCACCGAGGAGACGCATGCTCCAAAATAAGGCCTGCGACGAAAATGGCTGTTCCATGCTTCACCATCGAGTGAAGAAAGTAGGACGCCGCGCGGGTTGAGCGTGGACGAGCACTGTGGACGTCCTTGGGACGAATTGGAGAGGTGTCCGGCAAATCCACCTACTTGGGGTCTATAACACCATGTGTTCAGCAATTTCGCTCCCTTGAATGTGGAGGAATGAGCAGACTCAGAGTGAACCCTGGAAGAGCCAAGAAACGCCAAGCCTTCTTGTTCTAATAATAGATTCGCTAGAGATTATTTTTGAATAGTTCATAGGATTCGTCATCTTTAGAGAGCGTGATACGACCGGGTCGAAGGGTAACCGTTCAGAAATAACTCGCGAGCTCGTGGTACGCAGGCTATGTTGCATGAATCAGTCTTGATAGAACCATGCGGTAGCGAGGTCATACCTTTATCTCAACGATAGCAAGCACACGATGGCTAACAAGATTTCCGATTGAAACAATCGGGTCCCAAGTTCAGTAGAGCTAAAGACCGTCACTTCGAGATGTAGAGGATTGGGCTAACGAAGACTTGCCTGCCTTCCAGAACTCCTAGGCATACCAGGGAAAATCATCTTTGCAAGGCCGCAGCTGTGGGTCGAAGGCTCTCTGAGTTAGATAGTTCGTCTGAGATGCATTATCCCAAGGCTGCACATCGAGCCGAAGATTTTGCGACGTTGCACTTGATTTAGGCCTCTGGGCACATGCATGTGTACAGAAGAATGCCGCCTTTGGTAGCTAGTTATCAGGCTATGAATCATGACTATTATCCTTCGAACCGTGGCATGGGAAGACCTTTGGCTAAAATCACGTTGACGACAGCGACAGTGCAAAAGACCAATCGCTGGAGAGCCTTCGAGACATTAGGAACGTTGCTGACTCGGAAACAGCGGCGCTGAGTGCGTGCGTCATAACCGCAGGCGAGAACAAACTGCAGGGTGAGATGGGTAGGTGGCAGTCGCAAACGGCTTGAAGAATGCAAGGGCGTAACCAATGGGGTTTGCGAATGTCGGTGAATAGAAACAATCTAATTATAAAATACAATGAAGCTATGTGCGCATAATTCAGGTTTTGGAAGGAAAAGTCAAGAATAGAACATACGACCAATGTACATGTCAGATAGTACAAGACTATCGGAATAACCCTCTTAACTGCGACTCGACGTCTTCGGCGGTCCTCTTTATATCTGCAGAAAACAGTCAGCTTCTGGTACTTTGCCCTAAAATATAGGAGACGTCTCATACACTTCTGTGGGTCTGTGGGGTAGAGATAACGGTCATCGGGACGACACCCTGAAAAGCTAGAAGATCAGGAACTCACTCTTACTGAATTCCTTATCCTTCTGCTTCTGAGTAAACCGCTGGAACGAAGGGACGACCAGCATGACAATCTCCTCGCTGATGTCGGCTCTGCCCTTAGGATCTTCATCCAGGACTTTAGCAAGCTTATGCCTCTCAACGACCTCATCCAGCAGGTCGAAGAACCGCGTAAACTTCTCCTTCGCAGCAGCCTTATTCGACTTGTCCTTTGGATCATCCGTGATGGCCTGCATCAATGGCGAAAAGTTGGAGTCGAAATAACCAGCCTTGGCTGTACGATAAGCTGAGTTGAGTGCCTCTGACGTAGCGGGCGAGAGCACGGCCTGGATGCTGTCGTCCGTTGGCTCTATGAGCAAATTCTGGCGCAGATAGGAAATATTATTCAGGAGAAACACAGAGCCGAAGGGCGGCCGCCTTGCAGTGCGAGAAATCGCGGTCAGACTGCTGATGGCTGTCGTCACGACGTCGTCTACAGCATCATCAGCAAAGCGTCGAGCACAAGAAGGCCTAGAACACTTACGAAGGAAACGCTCAATGATACTGCCGCCAATGTCCTCTTTGTTGCCTTTGCCGACTTGAACGCCCTCACCCATCTTCCAATTTCCATCTCCAAGCGCCAAAAGGACAGATTCAACCGCGCTTCGCACCTGAGGCATCCTTTCAATGTATGCTACGGTCTGAGAGGCATTTAGCAGAAGGATAGCAGAGAAAAAGGGTGGGAATACCGAATTGACGAAGTCCATTAATTTGGTGCTGGTGTCGGAGCCTCTCGACATCGCGCCCATCTTCACATCAGCCAGGAACTCAGGGAAGCTCCGCAAGCAGAGCGCACGCAGACTCTGCAATCCGTCTTTAGGCTCGTTCTTTTCCATCATATGGTCTGAGCCTCGGTGGGACAAGAGCTCATCCCAGTGCGGCTGCAACGATAGGAGACCTTCGTACGCCGAAAGGGCGAGAAAGTTGTACTTGTGCAGCGATTTCTTCGTCAGGGTGATCAGCTGATTGAGCACCGAGTGGAAGAGCTTGAGGATTGGGGCCATGAGTGTTCCGTATGCCGATGCAACCATTTGAAGGCTTGAGAGCGGGCTGAGCTCGATCAGAAGCTTGTATTCCTCCTACGGCGATTTAGCTCGAGAAATATGTCGGGTGGTGTGAAAGGTACCTCAGCAGTACCCAACATCATCTCGACCCATTCCCTGAAGTCCCTCCCTGTCGCTAACGGGTCGACAGTGTCGGCCCGCGCCACGAGTCTCTTTCCTTGTCCTTCCAGGCATTTGACGCTCCAATTACCGCGCATGTCCGCGTATCCCTTCTGGGCTTCCTTCAGTGTTGACAATATACTTTGGGCCGCCGGATGCGATGGATGTGTTGAAGGCAAAGGTAATGTTCGGAGGAAACTGACGACCGGGGATAGGGTCGGTAGCAGCGACGATGGGAAGGAGCTTAACATGAAGTCGGTCCCCGGGGCTGGCGTTGTTCCAGAAGAACCTTCTGCCACGACTTTGGTGTATAATTGCGTTAGTTTCTTGGCTCCTGTTTCGACGAGGCGGGCCTGATCTCGTCAGAACAATGCACAGGGATGAGCCTTGCGACATACCGATGCTGCGAGGTCCTGATCCGCCGAGTTGAAGGCGATGCTTGTATTCAGTCTTTCCAAAACCTCCTTGTAGACATCGAGGTTGGTGGGCTGTGGCCTTAACCCAGATTAGTGTAACAGAGCAAACATGGAATGAGCTTACCCGCGCAGAATGAGAGCCTCATCCGCCGCAATATCCTGCTGCGTGTTTGAAAGGTCTTCGATCCGTGCTAACGTCTTGTCAATATCTAGAGTTTCCATAAGTCCTCCATCCAGACTGACAATTATCAACGTACTACTCCGGCGTCGATTCAGGATCTGTGTCGCCGTATACAACGGTAGTATTGACTTCTCGAGCTTGGCCAATCGGGTGTCGAAACTGTCGAGAATGGCTGGTTAGAGTGAGCGTTCTGCGCTTCTGCTTAGTCGGGACGGCGTACTCGTCATTCTCTTCGATATTTGGCGCGTCTTGTTGAGATTTTGCTGCAACTGCGACAAGATTCAACTCCAATGATTAGATGGATATGCATAGGAACGTACCAGCTCGATTTCTGCCGTCTCATCGTCCATTGTCGGACCAAGTTGAGGTTTGGGCAACTCCTACTCGGGAACGGCCCTTCTGGAACAATAGAACTCCGATTGTCGGAGAATCTATTTGACGGTTGCTGGGTAATCTCCGCCTCAAATGTCTGCCCACACTTCGCCGTCTAGGCAAACAAGTTGCTTCATCTCCAAATGCCCTCGTAGTCCTTCCTCTCATTACGCGTACAATCATCGATACTTGCATATTTGCAAGCAACTGGATTCTTGAAGACGGCTGGACACCTCCGAACCAACGAGGATGGCAGAACTGCAGCCTATAATTCCTCGAGACGAGAATAACCATGGAAACCTCGCGGCTCCTCAAGACACGCCAGAACCGGTCCCAATTACTGACCAAGAGGTGGGAGAGTATCGCGAACAAGATCGGTTTCTTCCTGTGAGCTACGCCTTGTCTCAAAGCTTTGACGCGAGAATATTGACGTCGAGCGGCCCAGATCGCCAATGTTGCGCGAATAATGAAAGGTTCTGTCCCACCAACAGCCAAAATCGCGAAAGACGCGAAGGAATGCGTTCAGGAATGCGTCTCGGAGTTCATATCTTTCATCACGTCGGAGGCAGCAGAGAAATGCCAACTTGAGAAGCGGAAGACAATCGGCGGAGAAGATATTCTGTACGCGATGGGCGCGTTGGGATTCGACAACTATGCGGAGACCTTGAAGATTCACCTCGCAAAACTACGTCAGGTGAGCTATGCAATCATGTCTATTTGCGCTTTTCTGAAACTTTTCTTGCCGTCCTGGCATTCAGAACGGTACAGCCAACTCCGCGAACGCCATCCGGGAACATCCTATAGAACCCAGAATGGACGGGGAATGATCATCTCATGCTGTCTGAAGACCGGCTCGCTATCGAAATTGTACACTTACGGTCAGTCGCGTCGCGTCTCTTTCGTACGCTTAAGCCCTCATTGTTCCTTTAGGATCTTGCTTATCTTATTTAACTTGTGTATTTAATAGACACTCTGTCTCCTGCACTCTTCATTTCACACCCCTGTTGTACTTTTTGGCTCTGGATGCCATCCGGAGCAACATTTCGGCCTTTTTCTTCTGATTGGTGGAAGAACGCCTTCAGTCCGTGAGTTGTCGGCCAATCGAATCATTGATTCATTCACTATAGCATATATGCGCTTTGATCCCCCATTCAGTCATTCTATGTATCCTCTGTCGCTTCCAGAACGAATTGCATAAACCCATCACACTCCCATCCGCCAGATCCCAATTCTTGCTGTCACATTCGATAATGATCGTCATTGATCCAACTCGGAATTTTGGAACTCAAGTTCACCTGTGACTAACAGTTTCTGCAAAACGGAGTTGAGATGCTGGTAGGTCCGTCTCTAAGCTAATGGAAAGGTGAAATCTAAAATAGAATAGGGCATTTCTCCCTCAAGGCTCAGTTATATCGTCATCGTAGGAAAGGTTACTGAGCAGTCTGAGCGATGAGCGGTCTCCGCAGCAGGCAATTTCGATCGATTTCATCTTCCGGCATCCACAATGCGAACCTTGCTTCCCGCAGCTTCCCGCTCTAACCAAAGCACACCTGATCAGCGTCCAGTGAAATCCATAGTTCTCTCCTTCTAATCAGTCTGACGCGGCGCGGCATTTTGCGCTTAGATACTTGTGCTTCTCGAATCTCTGGTCATCCAATCGATCAGTCCACACAACTCATGGTGAGTCTTATTGGTAGGCACGGTGACCCATAACTTGAGCGCTGACTACGTGATTTCTTGTGCAGGTTGGATTGTTGTATAAGTACTTCGGATCCAACATGGGCTAAGACAAGGTGTTCCTTCAGCGCGCCAGCGTCATATCTTCATGCGTGGACAATGTATGGTCGTCTTCAAAGGTAGACAATTGGCTGTTTGTATTTGACACCCATTGACATTGTCTTCTGCCAAGCCCAATTCATTATAAGGAGAAGAAGGCAGAAAGAAACAAGAACCTCACGTACTGACGATCAAGCAGCCTCATTATCAAGCCCAAGTTGAAGTGCCAATAATTTTCCAAGGCTGTTGGATTATCCCTCCCGGATGAGAAGCCATAAGGTCTCGTCATGCGACTTTTGCAGCCAAAGCGAAAAGGTTGACTTGACAACAAAAGCGCAGCCGCCGAACGCCTCTTGAATCCTGCCTTTTGAGGCAGTCATCCGAAACAACATGCCGCAACGCGGTCTTTTCCGCGCTTTTGTTGCCTTCCAGGCCGTTCCCCTGTCGAGTCCCGTCCTCGCCTCCCCAGCCGATGATGATGGCACATCAATATGTACGCCAAGAGTTTCTTGGCCAGATGGTTTTGTTATGGACGCTTTATATAAGCCTACGACCGGCGAACGGATTCCCTTCTCCACCTTTTCCTTCATCTCTCCCTTTTCCTCTTTTCTTTCCCCTTCCTTCCGTTAAGGACACGTCTGGCATCGTGTTTCCTAATTCGCCGTTTTGAAAATGGTCGCCTTCACCAATCCGTTCTTTTCCTTGTTCATTGCTACTCTACTTGCGACGTACGTTGAGGCTGCGCCGTGGCCGGTCTACTCGCGACATGCCACCCATCGTGTCCGGACCATTGGGAAGCGTGCACTCCAAGTCGAGAGCTATCATCCGAAGTCGACTTTCAAGGTATGTCACGGCCGATCGTGTTATTTTTATAGCTAAACGTTGGTTGAAAGTCCTTCGGTGCCGACGGACCTACTGTCTCCACAGGGAACTCCTTGGTTGGAAGCTCCTTGAACTCGAACGCGATCTCCTTCGTCTCCTCACTCGGCGTCGATGCCAAAGATGTTACCTGGACCTCCGGATACAATGCTGGGACTGCACAGTTTGCCTACGTCAAGCAAAGCATTGTACGCTCAATTCAGCTTCATCCCTGTTTCCGTCTTCTGACTCCTCCAAGAACGGCATCCCTCTCGCAAATGCTGTGGCAAACGTCGCGTTCGATGGAAATAAGGTCGTGTCTTATGGCTCCTCTTTCGTCGACACCAAGGCCGGTGCGTGGCAACGTTGGATTTCAAATTTGTTACCATTCTCATCTCCATGCGTTTAGCAAATATCGCCGCGGCTGAACCTACCGTGAGCTGGCGATCTGTCCTGCCCGAGGTTGAAGAGGCTCTCGAAGGCCGATATAACGACCACAACGCCACCTTGGAATACCTGGCCCGATCTGATGGATCAGTGGCACTCACACACGTTGTTCAAATCCAAAATACCACTACCAACGCTTGGTACGAGGCATACATCGACGCCCACTCTGGTGAATTGATCTCGGTCACCGACTTCGTCGCTGATGCCTCCGTAAGTTTTGCTGGTGATTCATTTATGACAACTTTGTGAATGAAGCCCCAGTACCGTGTCCTTCCAATCACGAAACAATCATTCCCTGCTGGGACCGAGACGCTTGTGGATCCTCAAGATGTCACTGCATCCCCTGAAGGATGGCATAGTGTTGGACGGGGGGAGTCGACGACGACGAGGTGCGTGTACTCATTGTCGTTATCGACAAGTCACTTATGCCCTTCAAAGTGGAAACAACGTTCTGAGCTTCAAGGGACAACAAGTCACCGCTCAGTCTGCCCCAGGCCTTGTCTTCTCAGCGGCATATGATGACACGAGAGATCCAACGAACGCCGTCAACCTCAACGCTGCTAGGACCAACGCCTTTTACGTTCTTAACGTTATGCACGACTTCTCGTTCCGTTATGGGTTCACCGAGCAAGCGTTCAACTTCCAGCTCTCCAACTTGGGCAACGGTGGCCGCGCGAATGATCGTGTCCTTGTTTCCGTTCAGGATGCTTCTGGAGTCAACAATGCTAACTTCGCCACTCCTCCTGAGTACGTCACTTACCCTGTTACGTTACCTGTTTCATTTTCTGAGGCTTCTCACAGCGGTCAATCTGGAATCTGCCGCATGTTCATCTGGGATATTACCAACGTATGTGCTGTTCTCATGCTGTCGTTGATAGGCTGACGCCTATCCAGCCTAACCGGGATGGCACGATGCAAAACGACATCATCATTCACGAGATGACGCATGGTATCACGAACCGCCTGACAGGTGGAGGAACTGGCCGATGCCTGCAGACTTTGGAATCAGGTGGACTGGGCGAGGGTTGGGGCGATGCGATGGCCAACTGGTTCCATCAGACGTCTGCTCAGACGAGGGACTACGTTATCGGCGAATACGTGTTCAACAACCGGCGTGGAATCCGCTCTGCGCCATACTCTGTGAACAGGGCCACCAACGCCTTGAGCTACGGAAGTCTTCGTCAGCTCAATGAAGTTCATTGTGAGTCCTTCGCGGTCCTGCAGCTGATCACCGTCTCAACGTCTCCTAGCCATCGGCGAGGTCTGGGCCAACATGCTGCACAACGTCTACGCTGCTCTTGTCGACGAGCTCGGTTTCTCTGCTGATAAGCTCACGAACCCCGACGGCCGCGAGGGCAACATTGTGTTTATGCGTCTTTTTATGGACGCGCTCTCGATCCAACCCTGCAACCCAACATGTAAGTGCCGCCTTTCTATCCAGCATGCACCCATTGACATTGCCCTTTAGTTGTCGAAGCCCGTGACGCTTGGCTGACTGCTGATCAGAGGCGTTTTAACGGCGCCAACAGGTGCACAGTCCTCAGGGCCTTCGCTAGCCGTGGCCTTGGACTGAACGCTGGAGCTGATTTCCGTGACGATAACAACGTTGGCAACTGCTAGATCTACTTATTTAATAGGGAGAAAAGTCGGAACGGAATCGGTGACTACTCGCCAAAACATCCACTCTTTTTTTATTTATTTATTATGCTTGGAAGGGAAATTCATTTATTGCATTACACTTGTATACAACGCCCATGCGACGGTCAATATATTTCATTATCCTATTGCTTGTCTGAACAAGGTAGTATCATCACAGAGGCAGCTGCACCTCAGTGCAGGCGTTCACAGCCCGCTCCCAGAGAGTATTCTTGCTCAGCGTTGTTCGATCACCAACAATGATCAAGCCGAGACGCGCCCTCGTCCACATGACGTTCAATCTGCGTTTATCGTCCAAGAATCCTACATCGCCATCAACATTGCAGCGGACTGTCGAAAACACAATGATGTCGCTTTCTCTTCCCTGGAAAGAGTCGATGGTGGAACAAGTGAAAGCAGAGGGTAACTTCTGTCGTAATGCTTGGATTTGTTTTGTATATGGAGAGAGGATTGTTGTCTTCAGCTGCGCTAGTCTTGGCTCTGGTGTAGTATCTGGTTTTTGGGCCGCGATAAGAGGCAATAGCCTATGGATGACCTCGATCTGCCCTTGGTTGCTCTTCGAACGATCCCCCATGTCTTCTTCCTCGCTGCATTGGATGAACACCGTAGGAATAACGACACCATTCCGAGTAGGCCAAGGAAATTGGGAAAGGGATAAGAAATTGGAGACCTCCGCGTTTCCTTCGTTGGTTCTAAGTCTTCCATCATAGAATTCGCTCGAGGGAAATGAGTTCAATTCTCGAGGAGAGCGGTATTGGATATCCAGCATAGTCTTCGCCAACCCGGGTCTGTCTTCATTGGTTGTATACATCCGCTCAAGGAGAGATACGTCATATTCTAGCGCCTTTGCCATATTCCGAACCGTTGGCCGCAACTGAACACTGATTACAAGTCAATGTCGTATGTTGCCTCCGAAAGTATCCTACTTACTGGTCTCCAACAATGACTGCCCTACTGATCCCTTTGACGAGTGGAATGAGCGCACAAGGTTCCGTTATTTGGGAGGCCTCATCGATCAAGGCAATATCGAAGTCGACTTTGCGCAAGATTCCAAGTCCAGCCCCTGCACGAGCCTGAGAGGTAGCTCCGAAGCAAATTAAATAAGAAGCTTACCAGCACAAGTAGTGAAGACAAGAACAGCGCGTTCAACCCGTTCTTGAGCTTGCTTCAGCAGTCGATTATTTTCATTCGTATCCCCTCCAACACGAGCGTTGATGGTATAATGTTGCAACGATGGATTCACCCGCGATTGGTCCGTGGCCACACGAAGGATCTGTTCTTCGAGCAGAAGACCTCCAGGTTCATTTATGGCAATAAATCGTTCCAGGACGTTGTCAACGGCTACCAGTTGCATTTAATCCAGTCGAGTTTATCCCACTTAAACCGTATTGATACATACCGTTATGGGTCGACGCTGTCATAAGAATCTTCGGCTTGTGGGAGTGGCTTTGGAGAATATCTCGGAGCATCTCCACGATTACGGTCGTTTTTCCAGTACCTATCCATTTCTTGCGTCAGCTGAATGCACTTCCGCATTGTGCACGAACGTACCAGGAGGGCCCCAAATGAGGGCCAGAGGCGTTGTCCAAGATCTCATCGCAGTTGCTTGACTTTCATTTAGATTTGCTGGTGCTGGGTTTCGCTCTTCACCGACAGGAGGTAATGCCTCCTCTTCGAACTCCGCCTGTTGTTCAGGTTCTTCTCGACCCGATTCAGAGGCCGCCTCTTCGTCTCCGACAATGAGATGATAAAATTTGCAACATTTGTGGCGTTCCAGCAGGAGGCGCTGAACAGCGTCCATCATGGCATTTGCAGTCGCTGAAAGTGATTGCTTGATTCGCATCAATTCCAAAGCATGCTTTAGGCAAAGAACGTACCAATGCTCCCAGCATCATACAAGTTCCAGTCCATTATCTCCATCTCCGGAGGCGCAGGGTGCAAGAGGTTGATCTTCAATTCACCCTTCATAGCCTGCACAACAAGACCATCCATAATGGGTGCGTTTATCCAGCGGTTCTCGGCTCTCGACGCTGCTTGCAAGCGAACATGGGAGTGCAATCGGATCGAACTTCTCGCGTCGATGCGAACACTGGCAACAATCTGCGAGTTTGTGTCATAGCCTGGTGCAAATGCGAGTTTTGCGTGGGATGGAGGCGTCCTCTGCTTCTTGCGGGGACGTCCATCTTCGTTGCAGGGGCATTCGTCCGCAGCTTCTTCTGCACGATCAAATGCAACTCCAAGAGCGGGTTTATGACCATACGCTGAAGCTGGAGATGGCGGGCAATGTTGCAGCCTACTGTCGTTGAGGACAAGGAGGACTTCTTGGACGAGCTGCTTCGACCGAACTGAGAGGGCCGTCAACATGAGCAAACCGATGTAGTCCTCGAGATTTAGCAGGCCGATCGACTTTGAGATTTTCTCCAAGGCAACGAGAGCCGCAATTCGTGTGTCGTTGGCGGACCGGATGATGTTCCGAAGGATGTTGTGGGCAAGAGGTTCAAGGACCTGGGGGAGCTCCATGTCTTCACTAGGGGGATAAGCTTGGAGAAGCGCAAACGTGAGCGGAGGATATTTCTCAATCCAGGTGATAACGAAGAGACGAGGAAGAGGATCCTGTCTGATGACATGCGCAAAAACAAGGAACAGTTCGTCTTCAGCGTGGTATTTGATGGCGAAAGCCATGATTTTATCGACCTCTGGAAGCATTCTTCGAGAAAGGTATTCGGCCATCGACCCAGCATTGTGTTTAAGAGCGTTTGCCGAGCGTCGGGTGGAGTCCGGTTGGGTACGAACGAACGCCCCTCTGAGATCTATCAGTTCGTCCGTGTCCCAGTCGACATCCTTGAGATCGTTCATATGATATGGGGAAGGGTCACGTTGGAAGCGACGCACAAATTCTTCTGTTGGAACACTTCGAAGGTGTGTAAGTTACGAAGAAGTTGAGAGAACACAGGGCGGGCATACTGGTCAAACCATAGGTCAAATAGTTGGTGCGCTACTCGGTCTCTGTTGGAAACGACGTGGATTTCGATAGCGTTAACTCGATTCCGGTTGACGCGACCCAATTGCTATTACCAATAGCAATGAATCGCAGATGTCAAGATATTGCGCTGAAAAGACCTACCTTTTGAACAGTGCCTGAAATTTTCTGGAGAGCGATACTTGTGGCCACTTCCGCGCCTAAAGCGTTGGGGGGTCGGTTGACAAAAATGAAGGTATTCCCAAGATGTTTGTCGTAGAGCTGAAGGCGATTATCGCTACAATGTAGTCGATAGCCCGTGGGGCATGGTCGCAGAGTGGCGATAGTGGATGCTGTTGTTGGCATGAACGAGCAAACAACAACGCTCAAATTGCTTGTATCGTTGATTTCACGGTCTTCCTCTTCCCAGATGACCTCTCCGCGAATGAATATGCCCACTGCAAACCTTGCATCCATCTAATATGCTTGTTAGTACCTGAGAAGAAACAAACGGGGGCCTGAGAACCAACCTGAATGACAATTATCTTCCTCGTGTAATCTTGGGTACCCATTTTCAGAAACTCAAAGAATGTCCTGAGCCCGCTTTGTCGAGACGAGTAAAGCCGGTGAAGAGCAAAGGGTTGGCGTATGTTCCGCTGATACAGGTCGGTTGCGGTGAGGATATCTGATCGGACGAAAGAATTCCATATCTCTGGATAATCGACGGCAGACAAAGAGAGGGTAACGCTGAGCGTGTGTTTCTCGGTAGTTGTCAATGCGGAGAAATCAAGTTGGGAAAGATATGGCTTGATATCAATGCCGTGCTTCGTTGCAAATCGGTATGCGAGATTGAATAATTCATATTCGGATATGGAGTTCTGCTTGCTTCGTAAAAGCTGTAGTAAGAGGGCCTTCGCGTCTTCTTCATCCTCCATTGAGGTGATCTCTGCTCGTCGAGAAGCGGACTCAGCGAACTCTTTAGCGAATTTGTCGGAGGCATCCTCAAGTAGATCAAGAATGTAAGGCTCGGATTGCTCAGGCGGCGTCGAGAGCCTCTCCGGTATCTTGATATTTGCCCCATCCACAGACTGCGAATGGAGAGCGTTCAATTCTTGGCATTGGACGCAGAGAGCTCCATTCGGGCTACTTCGCGCCCATTTCGCATGCAACGCGGAGACTCTCGCGACACCTGAGCTTTAGGTACGTTGCCGTATGATGTTAGCTCTTCCGGTCAGGTGAGCATGATATGAGGCAACTCACGCGTTGTAAGACGCGAAATGAGTACCAAGGTCAATCCGGGTGATACCCTTCTTGTTGAACTCTTTATTGCCCGGATAATCGTACGACTGTCGACATTAAGTGTAAGAGGCACGAGCGACGAAGACGAACATAAGTACCTCGGAGATCTTGGTAGGTACAAGATCAGCATCCCAACACACGAAGAACTCGTCTCCTGGAAAGTTGAGGATGTTCAGCACGGAAACGATGTATCGGACATAGGTAGGCACCATCGAGATCCCCGCCACTGCTCATAGAGGGAGGTGCATGACGGCCAGGACGAGCCTTACTCGCAAATACGAGGCAGTCGACGAGATGATCCAGCTTGGGATGGCGAACCGCTCGCAATTTCAAGATATCACCTGAAAGGTGGCATAAATGCAAGAAAAGGATGCCATATGGAAGCAACGTACCGGGGTGAAGACAAGGATTACGCACAATGATGACGTCACCATGAATCGGAGTTGTGACTCCCTTCCTGGCCATGGTAATACGGATATGCACCTGCCCTTCTTCCAACACCTGGAACGGATCGCATACGCCGAATAGCCTCCTCGACTTGTGGACCATCATCCTGGACTTGAACTTGTTGGTCAGCTCTTGTCGAGCACCGGCGATCTCGCTATTTTGAAGCCTCCGTATTTCTTTCTTCACATCCTTGTCATCAAGTCCTTCGAGAAGGACACGATCGGCGAGAGGGTAGGCCTCCAGACAGGAAAGGAAGTCGACCGCTTTGATAATGTCTTTGGGGGCACCGGCGACCCAGTCAAAATACTTCTGCTGTTTAGCGAGGAAGGCCGCGTCGGATATACCCAGACTTCTGAGGAGCACGATGATATCGTTGTTCAGACGCCCGAAAGTGTAAGGCCTCGAATACCCTACAACGGAGAATGTTGGGTCCACGGTAGTATTGAACTTTTTCATGCTCTTCCTGAATTGGGCCAGGTGCTTGCCTTGGGCATCTAGCTCAGGATGAAGCATCAAGACGCCTTTGTATCCAAGATATCTTGCTTTCATCGTTAATTGCCGCCGACAGAAATATATCGAACCTTACCTTATCTGAAAAACGGTAGGGGTATATCTGGTTCCTCTGAACAAAAAGCGTTTGATTCGGCTGATTTGAATCGCGAGCTTCTTCGATATAAGCCCGCAGCCGTCTGAAAAGACTTCATCGCCAACTTGAATATCGCCAATATCGCCGATCCATTTAGGGTCGAGTCGGAAATCCACCTCCGCCGACGAAAATAAAAGCCCAATGCGTTTTGCACCTATCGAGACGTCAGACCCCTGAAGTTAAAGACGAACGGAAGGAACACACGCTTTGCCACGTTCATGATCCTCCCAAAATCACCCATCGCATAAAGCCTTGCATCGAGCTCCTCGTCTGAATTGGCCTCGCGAAGAAAGCATGAACGTCCTCTCTAAGTGAACATTAGTTCGGAATTTACTTCGACATTGATGGTTCTCACCAACTGACTGTTACTGTGGCCATAGAATCGGTACTGGGTACCATTCAAAAAGACACCTCGCTTAAACATTCGAACGACATAATCCACGGCGACTCTCATCGGCTGTTCTGGAAACCGAAACCGCCTATCGATTGTGAGCAGCACGAACTTGGTTGGATCGTCCAGATGCAGAATACGATTGGAAGGGAATCGCTCCATCCGCAATGTAATATGGTCGACGTGTAATGAAAGCATCTTGCCGTACCCTGGCCGTGCCGAGTTTCGAAGAGAGCCTAGGGCGAAGGTGAACTCCCATGTCTGGTCGTCCAGGCTTGGGTTTTCTCGTAGAACGATGGATGTCATGGAGAGAGGTTATCGATGAGTTTAGGCGCTGGTCTGTGAAACCATGACCAATGCCGGTTTGCTCCTAATGGCGACTTGTGGGAATCTCCTCAACACCTCCAAGGTTGCTTATCATCTGCCTTCGGATATCCTGAGCGCCAAATCCGACACCATGTCGACCAAGCTACCCCCTCCACGCTCGATCTATGTGATTGGTCCTTCTGTGAGCTGAACAACATCATGATAAGGGAGGATAGACTAACACTACCATCGCAGTCAACAGGAAAGACGACGCTTTGCGATGGGCTGGTCAAGAAACTGGGAATTCCACAAAGCTGGTACATCACGGAAGTGGCCAGGACAGTCATGACGGAACAAGGCTATTCCAAGAATACAATCGCCTTGGTGGAAATGCAAAAAGCTATCATGGAAGCCCACTACGCCCGTGAAAAAATCCTGGACGCAGCGCATTGTCCTCTACGAGTGTGCGATCGGTCGGCCATTGATCCAATCGTCTATGCAATTTTGACATCCAGAAACGACGAGGAAGCCAGAGAGAGGCAGGCATTCCTGACCGGCACCGAGAAGTTCCAGAAAGCCTTGACAAGATACAAAGCCACGCATTCGGTGGTGATACTTCTGACGTCTGTTCCGGAGTGGTTGGTCGATGACGGTGTTCGCACAACGGAGAACCAGGAAGAATGCGTCGGAATCTTCAAGAAATTGCTCGAAGACTTGAACGTGCAATACTTCGAGATTGGCAAAGAAATGAAGTTTCTGGAGGAGAGGGTAATGCGCGCTGTCGGGTTGGAATTTTGTTGAACGAAGAGTCGGCCCGCATTTGAAGGGCGTGCATGTTGAAGGACGACAATATAGATATGCCTATTGGAAGGTGAGATTCCGAACGTCATTGCTGAGAAAATCAAAGCTGAACAGTATCAACCTTTTCAGAAGGGCCGTGATGTTTGCACTTGGATAAGGCCTTGCCAGCATCTTGCGGAATGCAGGCGAAGTACGACCTCTGTAGAGGCTATGATGGATGCTAAGTTGACAACGCTGTAACGTAATGCTCAAGGTGAAAACACCTACGCGCGACCATAACTTAGCAGACACGTCCAAGCACCTGTGCTCTTCTCTCTATTCGGCGATATTATGGTGGTGACTTGACTCTGTGGTGGCCACGGACGTTCGACAATATCCCCTCGGCCTCCCGTTCTTGGATGAAGCAGAGTTGTCCGCAGACCGCCGTCCTCATACTGCGGGCTCGTGTCACGAGCTTTCCGTGTTGACGCGCGTTGGATCTGAATCAACGATGCGCACCATGGACTTGGGTAGACTGCCTGGGCAAACAGAGAAGCGTAAAATTGTTAATACAACAATGTTGCTGAAATCCCGTCTACGGAGAAACGTGTTTAGTTCAAGCCTGGAGAGAATACTGTGTTCGCGGGGGGTGAAGAGGAAGCGAGAAACGGAGGTCAACGTACAGCGCTTATGTAAGTCCCATCCTCTTAGCTCGGTCGATCTGAACAACAATTTCTTACTATGTGAAGCTTCACTCTCGATGTTTGGGATCGCCCCACGAGAACGTCGCTGTCCCCTCCCAATACCTTCTGACTCTGCGGAGCTTGTGAAACTAGCCAACTAGTTGTCAAAGTTACCCTTCTTACTGGCAGTTTCAAATCCCGAGCCGATGTGCTTGCCTCAAGTTACGATTTGACCTCAGTATCACCCAAGTCCGGAACAACGCTGCGAGTGAACCGTCACTGGGGGATGGAATTCTTTCAACGATTGTCGTGACCGAGCCGGGTGTTGAGAATTCTGGTTGGTAGATGTCGTACAACGACCTTTTACAGGGCGTTCGTAGTCACTCTTCAAAAAGGTACCTTTACCTATCTGAAAGGTGCATTTTTCACGGTTATCTAACATTTCTGGATAGATGGCATATATGGAACTGCCATGGAGGTTTATTAAGACGGCCCTCCAAGTCTTGTGCCCAAAGGTTCTTCGTCCGTCCCGAGAAACTGTGAAGATGTCGACTCACTTATTCTCTTATTTTCGTCAGCAGGAGCCCAGCACGCATGGGTTTCTATGGCCGAATGTAGTTGCGACCTTCAGATGGTGAAAAGGTCTCATGAATGAGTAGTCGGCCCCACTTTTGGAATTTCACTTCTCAATCGTCTGGTCCTTGTGAGGATCGTGGTCTTCTTCCCTAGACCTTGAAATAAAGCATGAAGTACGCGAAGACGTGTTCTGGACACTATACAGGAGGTCAAGGCTGACTGGCGACAAGTTAATCGATAACAGCGAAAAGACGTTTATCGACTATCTGAGTCGAAAGTGTGGTGTCCAGCAGTTTCTTCTCGAACTCACAGAGGGGCCCTCACGAATGGATTATTCATGGACAACTTCAAAGCCGAATTCTCTTGAGGCCAAGTCGTGTTCACGATCCAACGCGTAATCAAATTGTACCTGAGGTCGTTATGGTACGTCTTTGGCTTCCCGACGTCTGGCTGCTCCTGGCGTGCCAACAACTTTGTCGCTATCGATGGTACCGACGGGGTCGACGTCGATATGCCAACTCTTTGTTGAGAAACTCGTCCAACACTTTGAAGCCGTTGACCGATGACCAAGTTTCAACAACATCCACCCACACCTATGGCTCACCGACAGCCCATCAACGTCATGCTCGATGCGTCGCCACTGCTACACCTGCAGTGGCTTCATCGTATTTTTCCTGCGTCTGCCTCCTTTCTCCGATCTTCTAGATTGTCTACCCAAAGTCAAAGCCCATTCTTCAATCAGGACTCGATGCGAAGGCTCGATTTGGCCCTCCAACCTCGATCATTGTAAACCAGATCATTGAAGCCAACGCCGACCCCAGTGAACTGCTCAATTAATCCACTTAATTGGGCTGATGCCACGGTCCTGGTAAACTCTCTCTCGATGACATTCATTCTTGCGAGGCGTCCTTATTCCTGACAGCATTAATAGTAGTACCTTTGGCTGCATGAATTTTGGCAATGGGCACTATTCAAGCCTCTGCAGGCATACCAAGGGCATCCCTAATCACCTTCTCGACAAATTTCTCTGGTCTAGGAGAGTAAATCACCCCCTGCAGTTGCGCATAAATCCCAGCAGATTGCGACTTATACGCATTTAGAGTCTTGACGATATCTTCCGACAAGCTTCTCGGAGGGTCTACCATCAAAACCAACAAGATTTCATGGAGAATTATAGTGAGGTCAACAATGTAGGTGGCGAGATACTTTGCAGTCGATGCACTGTTGACATGTAAGAAAATAATTAACATCAAAAGTGTTAATTCACGCACCCCTTTTGATATTTGCCACGGAGGAACTGGAACGCCTTCAGTCCCAAGGACGCTCCCAAGGCAGGTGATACAAGGCCGCTGCCACCAACTGCACTTGCAACAGTAGCCACATTCGCTGCTGTGTCCGCTATCCCATCCCTATGAACAAAATCAGTTGGGCCGCATCAGCATTCTCCGGCAACGTGACTCGCTGCTGAATAAGTTGTGCATCACGTAAGGGCTCGACGAGCCCCATCACCCCTTCGAGGAAATCCTCCCTGTATAAGGTAGGGCTCATGCACGGCCTTCAAACATCACGTGACTTTGCGTGACAAGAGCCTACTTTGAGAGAAATAAACTAATGGCCTTCGAACGAGGGCTTGAACACAAAATCGGTTCGCGCAGGGTTTTAGATCAAGTAAAAATAAAGAGGCCTGCGCGAACCGATTTTTTGTTTTGGGCGAAATGAGAGCGCCATTAGTTTTACAAGCTCCTTGACTGCCCAGTTTGGCGAGCATCCCGCTCATACTCTTAAGTACGCTGCATTATGACCTATGGTGACACTGTGAGATGCTTTATTTGAGAGTTTGAGTGAATACTCCATAATACTGGAAGATCCTCTTTTCCCCAAACATGCTGAGTTCACTAGGAGATGCTCAAGCCTTCAGGTGCAGGGATTGGCACTCAGGTGGTATGGGTTTAGAGCCTGTCTCTCTCCATCCATGAAGTTTTACAGTGTAATTAAGAGCTAAAGGGAACGCTTTGAGCATGCCTGGGAAGTAATGCGTCGACTCCAATGACGAGGCGTCTCGATAAAGCGCGCTCGAGGCGCTCAAACCGGGAAGGTTTGCAAACATGCTCGCTTGGGGTAAAAATTCTTCAGCACATAATTTTTCACTCATTGAATTCATTTGACACCTTTCAAATATTCCTAATAGCTCTGTGGACCACCTCGCTCCACCCTTCAGACGACGCATACCTATCTTTCAAGCCATGTCACAGCGATGTCACGTACACGTGATGTTTGAAGGCCGTGCATGAGCCCTACCTTAGGAGCTGGAGAGCGAACTGAACATCAACATGTGTTTCCAGGCGACGACGTATGCTGACCTTGTCTGGATCGTTGAAGTTCCAGACCTTCAGAATGTCATCATGGATAATGAATGCCCTTGAAATCTAACACTTTCACCTAGGTTCTGCCAATATTCTGCGATAACGGTCAGTGCTGCCTGCAGACTTCAAGTTAGATGACGCGGATATCAACTTGCTCTTGAATCCTTCCCTAACAAACTGAGATTGCGTCAATAATCTCAGTCCATGTCAATAGCAGTAAAAACGTACGCGATTGAGAGTTCGACCTTTTGACGCACATTGATTTGCTGGGCAGTGGCCCAAACGGCCCACAGTGAGCCTTCGAGGTCGTGCAGGCACTGTCGGGTTAGCTTGGTCAAGGCCAAGAGCGTGGCTATGGTGACGGCTATGTCACGGGAGCTGGACGTCCATGAATTTAATTAACAAACCTGTACGGTCTTCCTCGGTCGAAACACCAACAAAAGGACTTTTCAGCTCTGTAGTGACTTTTTCGAATGCGATCGCTGCACGTTTCTTGGCCTCATCCACTGAGCCGCAGTCCCGAAAGTGCTCGACAACAAGCAGGTCGTATTTAGTAAGCACCACGATAATAGGGATATTTACTACACTGAAAGTCAGCGGAACGTGGAAGATCGAATCATCCATCACTCACGTTCTTCAGCAAGCGCCAACAGGTCCTCGTCTCCGGTTTGCAGCAATCTCATGCCTTCGCGAGGGGTTTCGATGCAAAGCCTTGAGACAGATCGACAGTACATAGAATCAACTACAAGAAGAAAAGCAGCACCATATAGCATGTATCCGATCTGGCAGTGCACTATGCTGAGCCCGATCATGCATGAAGTCCTCAACGATTTTTTACTTTTCAATGGAGCCAGGTTCAAACCCTATGCTGTCGTGGAGAATGGAACGCGGGTTTTGGTCATAATCATGTTCATAGTTGATATTGGCTCTTCCCGTGCGATCGTGGGCAATATCGATTGAGGTCTAGTGTTCGATCCGTGTCAGAGGTCGACAGATGGTCCTGAGAATTGTGGGAGAGGCACCTCCGAGTCATCCTCGTTGCCAGATGGGCTGATATTGAAGACAGAACTGACAAGAGAAGACTTTCCAACACCGGTCTAGAAGATATGAGCACGTCGACTGTGATTCAACTTGCAATTGGATCACTGTCATTTCCGACGACGACGATGCGGAATCTACGTACCCGAGCTGTTCAACTTGAACGATCATGAAGTGGATCTGTATGGGATACACATTTGAGGTTTGGACAGGATCACGAGTGTTCGCCATCCCAGTCCACAGCCATGAGTGGCAGGTGGAAGACCACGAAGGGCACGGGTTCGGCACTTCCACGAGGTCAGTCATCGATTTTGAACGCTGAAAGCTCAATACTGACTTACTGAAGGTGTACCTAGAACGGTTGTCGGGCTAAGGTCGTACGGAGGCATACGGGGTCTTCCGCAAAAATGGTGCGTTTGTCTACGGTAGTCAGCGGGGTGTGTGCTACAGAAGAGGTAAACCGTTCGTCCGTCATTGGGGTATGCCGCTACTCACTAGGAAAGCATTGGAGCGCCGCCCTAGCTCGTGGACAAGCTGACGTAGGGCCAGGTCGACAAAAGAGAAGAGAAACCCGCCACAATAAATCAACGACGTCGGCTGTACGAAACACAGCGCCGTTTTAGCGTCCGACCATCGAACCAAAGGGCAGGGCCTCACTTGGTGCGTCGCCTTCTGATTTTACGGAGGAAAGGAAAGGAGAGGCGAGGACGAGTGGAGTGGGATGTCGAATGCAGGCAAGCCCGCCCATCTTTTATACACGTCGCAGACCTGTATGTAGCTGAGATCAATTATCGAGCAGATGCATTTTGTCAACAAGAGGGACATACCAGGTAGGCTCAGAGCTATGACGCGGTTTTTAGCCCCTGATCCAAGTTGAGCTGCCCTCTATTCGTCCTCGACGTCCTGGCTGGAAGAAGATAGCGATATTGTAGTAGGGCTTTCCTGGGCATCAGGGATACTAGAAAATGAAGGTTCAAATAAGAAGGTTAAACGAGAAGGTTGAACGTTACATCTACATACTTACTTACATAAGCGCCGAATGTTGACTTCAGACCACACCGCAGTTTTTGGACTCCCTTTCCATACTCTCTTGCGCCCTGAGCAAGTTGAAAGATCCGATCATCCGTGTATTCAACCTCGGCCTCTCAGAATCGATTTGCTCGACCCCTCTTCCGAGCCGACAAACCATCTGAAGCACTCTACTACTATTACAGACTACAGATTCAGAAGGGCTTCATTCTCTACGACCGCCGGCGTGATGATCGAATTGGCCGTTGATATCTTGTGGCTGGAGGTTCGCTGCGACACATTTCGCAGGCTTCGTATCTTTTTTTCACCAGCAGGACCCAGCCGCACATGGATTTTCTCTGGCTGACTGTAGCTACGACCTCCAGATAGCGAAATGGTCGCATGAATACATGCTATTTTTAAGTCGCCCCCGTATTTTCGCTTCCCAACCGTCTGATCCTTCTCAGGATCGTGGTCGTCCTCCCCAGACCCTCGAAGCATGAAATGCCCAAGTAAATGTCCTGCACCACCAACAAGGAGTCAGAACGGACCCCAAATTTATCAGACGCCGGCGTCATGGATTGGTCTTCGTAGATTTTGAAGCTGAGCAACCAAGTTCCAGCGCAAAGGGAATCCAGGAATATCGACGTCCTGCAAACTATAAAAAGAATCCGCATCACGACGTTCCAAAGAACGCACTTCATCCTTTGCGACAACCACGATGGCCAGCGAGTTCATGCACCACATGGTTCTTAGGTGCTATCTTCCACGAGAATCTCTTGGTGCGGTCGGACGAGATCTGCTGGCATTTGCGTAATATAAGGCAGCACTCCCTGCCCAATTTTCTCGCTTGCTTCCTTAGGATGGCACTCCGTGGAGATATGGCCCTGTTTTCGCCGCCGATTCGAGTGTTCTTCTTCATCGCGAGCCTTTTCGCTGTTGTCGGTGCCTCCAATGTCGAACGAACTGCGGACCCCTGTGCTGCCATCGGTGGGCAAAAGTGGGTCTCACCCCAAGATGTTCGAGCATGCTTTACTTCGGTCAAAGTCGATCCATTAATTAAGGAGAATGTAAGTTGCCCTTGGGCCCCTCCGCACAACCTGTGGTTTGACGATCTTTGGTTGGCCCACGAACAGATCATCCAAGTTATCAACAAGACTTTGGCGTTTCACACCTCTGTCAACTATCAGCTGAGGGCGCCCGAACCTTTCACCAGAGATGTCCATGAAGACCTCCTCGGCGACCTTGCACGTATTCAGAGATCGAATTATGCCTCCGATTATGGCCTGCACATCGACTTTTCGCGAACTTTAAAGCGTCTCAATGATGGGCACTGCGTTTGGATCAATAACTGTTATGCAAGTAATCCGCCCCTTTGCCAGACAGTTATCTAACCTTTCGTATAGGACTGTACGTCTAACGATCTAGACGCAGAATGTTAGGCCTCTGATCCTCCTCTTTCAGCCTTATTCGTCAACTACTTACCGGTTCCCTTGGCCCTTTTAACGGAACGTGATGGATCGCAAAACGTGCACGTCGCACCCGAGGCCTTCGCAGTCGCATCCGCAGAATTCCCAGACCAGATCGATGTATGGCAGAACGCCTTACCTGGACCTCTGAAAGGTCAACTCGCATTGGTACGTCGGCGGCCTAACCGATTCATTACTATCTTCCTTACGCCCGTTGAACAGCTCTCCGGAGCCAAAGTTCTCCTTATCAACGGCCAGGACCCTTTCGTGGCCGTTAATGCCAACGCACTGATCACAGGAAGCTTCCAGGCGTTTGGAACTCGTCAAAACTCGTAAGCCAGTCCCTCTCTAGACTATCTCTTGACACATGCTGAATTGAAAACCTGCCGCGCTGCAGTTTCTTCTCGAGCTACCAGAGGAGTACTAGTGGATGGAATTACATCATGGGCAACTTCGCGCAGCAGTCGCTTCCTTTGAATGACGAAGTCATGTTGAAGATCCAACGCGTGAATCATACCATGCCTGAAGTAGTGGTTGTACGTTGAACATCCGGTCGCCTCAATCTCGAGCTAACTCTTATCTGAAGCTGCCATATCGCTCTCGAATTAGCCCCGCTACGGTACCATTCACTGACACGGCATCCTGGCGTGCCAACAACTGTCTCGCTATCGATGGTACCAACGGCGTCGATGCATACGCCAGCTCTTCCTCAAGAAGTTACTCCAGTACCCTGAACCCGTTGGCCAAGTTCCAACAACAGCCGCCTATACCTGCGACCCATCGCCAACCTCTCAACGTCATCCTTGATACATCGCCGCTATCTGATGTCGTTCTTCCACCTGGCCTGCAGCCTGCCCTCCCTCCAGTCAACGGCAGTAGGAGCGTGGCGCAGTTCTACATGCTCGATGATCAGAAGACGGGGGTTATGGCCCTTGGCAGCTTCTCGGATTCGAACTTCAACGCATTTTTGATCGGGATGCTCAATGGATTGCTGTCGTTGAAGGCATTAGGAGCTACACAGTTGATCGTTGACGTTGTAAGAGGCATCGTCGGCATCTTGAAGACGAAACACTCATTCTTTGTTCACGTAGTCTAACAACGGTGGAGGTTTCATATGTGCTGCTCATGTAAGTGAACTGATACACTCCATCCTCTGTGTTCTTACGCTAATCAGATTGCACATGCAGTGGCTTCATCGTATTGTTCGTCTGTCGCTCCACAAGAAAACTGCTTTCCTCTGATCAACAGCGATTAACTCTAGATTGTCGGCCCAAAATCCACAACAGTTCCTCAATCAGGACTCGACACGAAGGCTCGAGATGGTCCTCTAGCCCAGCTCATTGTCAAGCAGATCGTCGAAGCAAACGCGGACCCCGACGACTTCCTTAACTACAACCCCATCAACTGGGCCGATGCGACTGGTAAATTCTTCTCTGCGAACGACGACTGGCTGCAGCCACCTGTCTTGACCACCATCAACGGCCGCTCCGACGCGTTCAGTCAACGGTAAGCTTCGAGCCTCGGTCCTGAGGTCGCAACTCTTATTAATGTCGTGCCTTGTCAGACTCGGAGAAGAGTGCCCAACGGATCAGTTCCCAGTCGCCCCGCCGGACGCTGCACTTTTCGATCCGAAGAAAGTCGTCATTGTCTCTAATGGCCGGTAAATGCTCCAATCAATATTTTCGCTGCTCGTTACTAACTTGACACTCTAGGTGTGCTAGCTCTTGTTCACTCTTTAGCGTACGATCTCCGCCACTTTTTCTTCGCCCGTTTTACCATAGCTTCCTTTAGATCACGATGAACAAAGAGGAAGGGTCGAAGACGGTCGTCATCGGCGGAAAACAAGACGTGCAACAACAATACTGCGGCACCGTCGGTGGACAATCTACAGACTTCTCGACAATGGATACCGAGATCAAGGTACGTGTGCTCTTCTTCCAGTTCGCTGAAGACGCTGACTACGGTTTGCTACCAGACAACTCACCTCAAGGACAATAGCCTTGCCCCACCTGACTTGTAAGCTTCAGGGTCTTAGAACACGAACACCGTCCGAGATGTATTGACCGACTTTTAGGCTCGTTAACGGCATACAAGGTATTACCTGGAGGTTTGGTTTCGGGATCGACGACCCGACCCAGCCAGAAGGCATGCCTCGTCATTTTGATCCTAAACGAGTACACGCTGAGAGCACATCCGCAGAATGGCAGCCTCGTCCTGCAGACATGAACCTTCCGATAACAATCGACATGTAAGCTTGTTCAGTTGTATTGTTAGTTACAGGTTACTAGTTGACTGACAATGGGTGTCCAGTGTCAACAACCCTGTCGCAATTTGGGAGACCGTGGTGAAGAAGTTGTTTTCTTAGGGTTGTATAGCCAGTCAAAATGATAGAAAAGCGTTCAATACGACACGTAGAGACGGAATATAACCATACACGGCCGATGAACTCAGAACGTGGTCGATAATGGTATGGGGGGGGTTAAGGATGTGACACTATTCGACGAGGGCATGCCGGCCCGGTCGGGTGTCACTGATAGGCACAGCCACCTGGTCTCTTCGGCGCTTATCGTGATGGACATTGACCGACGTATGTCGGGGCTAGGCTGCAATAACATTGGCAATTTTCTGGTTTAGAACATCTGAAATCATTTTAATTCCAAGAGATGGTGTCCCAAGACACCCAGGTACAGTTTTGGCACTCTAGGTCTCCTTGAAAGACTCGGAGGCAAAAAACGAGCCGCCTGCTCTCCTGGAACCAGATGTCAACTTGAGACAAATTTCTACGTTCTCAGAGTATGTCAAATTTGCGACTTATACTAATTCTGAAGCGCAAAATTGGATGACGCACTTTTAAGGGTTCTGTTTGCTCCAAATCTGCGATGCACTGGAATACTCAACGAAGACACCTTTGAACGAACAATAGAGTAAGGATACCGAACCAGTGAGAGCGATCTGGGCGACGATTGCAATTTATTTATTCATTGGGAGCGGCGGCATAGGTGCCGCTGAGACGGGCGCCGAGCTTTCGCCAAGGCTGTATTTTTTTTTTAGCGCCGTTCGAAGAATGGAACGGAAGTATACATAACACGGAGTTCCTGGCCAACAAACAATGTATCTACATATGTTTGCGAACGCACTTGTGGACGTCACTGATTCTCGAATAGCTACGATTTCCTTCGCCTTCATTTCGCATCTCTCTTTCGATGTGAGTATATTAGAAGACATAATGACATCCTCTTTGCGGAATTCGGCCTGTGATGAAGTTAAATTAAGCGTGGCAATGACAACAGAATATTGTCATTTACCGATCGGATCCTCCTTTGCCATGTCGATACTGCTAGCGTCATTGATAAATAGGTGGACAAGCCAACTGTCGTGTCATTTTCGTCAGAAAGAACACTCGGACGCATGAAATACGGAGCCCACTTCTTTCGAATATCCCCCCGGATCTGGGACTCAGCGAGTACTTGTACGGCAAGCGTCTGGACTTCATTTATGACGGACCGTGCCCCATAATTCACGTCATAGCCCTGAATCAGCCTGTCAACGACTATTGTAAAAAAATCGAGGCAGAGCTTAGTTATTGAAACCGCGCCAAAGAAGGGTTAAGCCTGCCTTTGCGTGACCAAGACATTCGAATCGCATGGTGCTCTTCAGCACGCTTTTTCCATTTCTTCAACTCGATCTCGACGATTTGACCTATCTGGTAATAATAGAAGGATTAACAACGAATCTGATATCGTGATAGCTCTCATGTCTCACCTCTTGGTCGCTGAGAGGTAGGAAGACCACGGTCTGGTTGATTCGTCCAAGAAACTCGTCCCTCTTGAGCGCGCCCTTCAGGATGGGGTAAAGCCGCTTGTTGAATTGTCCGATGCCCTTGAGGTACTGTTGGTGCCGACCTTCGGTTTTGGCGACAAGCTTGTGGAGCTTTGGGGACTCAGCCCTGATCTCCTCTGACCCCAGGTTGGACGTCATGATGAACACTGCGCCTTTGCAGCAGATAGTACCAAGCTGCGAGGGCGAATTTAGTGTCCGTAGCAATAGAGTAGTAATGCATCCGAATACCTTGGGATCCGTTATTCTTCCATCATCGAAGACCTGAAGGAAAACGGTCAGGACATCAGGGTGGGCTTTCTCGATCTCATCCAAAAGGACAATAGCGTCTGGATTTTGCTTCAATTTATTTGTCAAGACGCCGCCTTCCTCATAACCCTATTACGGAAGACACAGATGGAGTAACAAGGCTGTGATGATGACTGAAACGACCTACCACATATCCTTTGGGCGAACCTGGGCACCGTTTCAATAAGCGTCAGGGTGTCTACGACTTCAAATAGATGAGCACGGACCTGTCAGATTTGACACCGTATAATCATGCTGATACTCAGACATGTCAATCCGCACGAACGCCCCAGATTGTTCGATCTCTGTGAGCGACTGACCACAGGAGGACTTGTCTTTAATCTTGTCTTTAATCTTGTCGCCATGAAGGTAATGCGCAACTTGCTTCGCAAGTTCCGTTTTCCCTATGCCAGAGCTTCCGAGGAAGAGCATGACGAGGGGACGGTCAGGATCGACCCAGCCATTCTCGCGGAGGCGGATGGCTGATGCGACAGAGCGAATTGGACCCCTCTGTCCAATGATCTTGTTGCCAATGATTCTCTCAATCTGGACTGAAGCGAGGAGAATCTCTAAGTGAAGTTGGTTATGGGGGGCATCGCAAATCACTTACGGTGCCTCTTGCGTAACTCTTCTTCTTGTTGAAGTTTTCTCTTTCTCTCTAGCTCTTTCTCTTCCTCGACTGCGAGGTCGGTAAGATGATCAGGGAGCAATACCGCTTGTGGGAGGATGGGAAACTTACTGCGTCTCTTGCGCGACTTTTCTTCCTCTTGACGTTTCTTCTGCCTTTCCGCCTCTTTCCTGATCTCAGCTACAAGGTTAGAAGAACCTATGAGTACAGTCGATTTCAAGACGGAAGAAAAGGCACTTGCCCTCCCTCTCGCGTGACTCCTCTTCTTCTCGAAGTTTCTTTTTCTTCGCCTCTTTCTCGACCTCAGCTGTAGAGCAGGAAAGAGACTGTAAGTACGGTTCGTTGTAATGCGGTCGAGACGCTGCTTGCCCTGTCTCTTGCGCAACTCTTCCTCTTCACGAAGTTTCTTCTCCTCTGCCTCTTTCTGCGCTTCGAGTTCACGCTTCTGAAGCCGCTCCAATTCCTGTTTCTCCTGCTCGCGTTTCAACTTCAACTCCTCCGCAACCCTGGCGGCCAATCTCAACTCTTCCTCTTCTGCACGTATCGCTGCTTCTTTCTCACACAAACGCTTGAACTCCTGCATCTGACTATCGCCATTGAGGGCGGCATAGTCCTCGGGGAGCAAGTCGTTGCTGTCGGATATCGTCCACTCCGCCCCGTTCCTCAGCAGAATCTCCGCAATCCTCATGTTACCCACTAGGCAAGAATAGTGCAGTGGTGTCGACACGCGCTTCTCAATCTGTGGCCACCCTGAGTCCAAGTTACCCGACGTGCTGCTCGATGGCAGGAGAATGTTAATATCAGCAGGTTTTCGGTCCGCAACTGCGACTTGCAGCGCCTCGAGGATCGATGGATGCTTATCGCGCGCTAATTCTGGCTTCGACTCGAGGATCCTGATTATGCAGGGCAAAATTAGTCTGATTGGTCTTCAACGCGATCAAGAACAATACTCACTCTTTGCAGTACTCGTCGTCTCCATCGCGTATGGCGCCGCAGAGCGTCGTGATATCTGGAGAGCAGAGCAGATAAGATAGTGCGCGCCGAGGCTACAAAAAAAGTCTTTACCTTTTGTTGCAATTGAGCGCCAGCGCTTGCACCACGCCTTCGATGCACTACGGTACGCTTCGAAAGCCTCTAAATCCACCCGGTCGAGGTCAAAGTATTCGTGTGGCAGTCTTTGTGAGTCGTCCCGCACATCATACGCGACAGGCGTCTTCAAGAGGAGGTTTAGGATCTCCACGTCGCCTCGCATGCAAGCAAAATGCAATGCAGTAGCGCCGGAGGTGTTTTCCGTTGCGCAGATGTTCGAGCAAAGCTCCTGTTGTCGACAGAGAATATCGGTAGCCAGGGATGTGGCATTGAATGTGGAACAGTCTTTGATCGTGATGTCAAGTATTGGCAGATCCAAAACAAACTTCACAAGGGAAGGGTCCCCGCATAGAATGGCAGCATGTAGAGGCGCCCAACCAAGAGGATGGCGAATATTGATAAGAGTAGGCGAAATTTCCAGCAATCTACACAAATTCAAATTTCACGAGTCAGATCACGGAAATAAGAACATACCGTCGAGCACGCTTGAAATCACGATTCACCAAAGTTCTGCACAAACCACGACTTCCTGGTACGGCCCAGGGAGCTGCCATGACGGACAGAGGTGGGATTCGAGAGATACGCAACCGCTTGCAAGCATATAAGATTCATTTTATAGCGTCGGCAGACCCTGACGAGTCCGCCTTCCTTTGCTTCCGCTATGACTCCTATCGATCGCTGGGCAGATGGGGTCCCAGATGCACGAAGAGAAAGCATTGTTTCCGTATGGCCGGCTGCGAGTGGATACACCAAACATCGTGTGGGTCCGAGAACTGGCGTGAAAATTGAAACTCTATGAACGTGTGATTTTGAACGCCTGAACGGTGCCTCCCACTGGTCGAGTTCGCTGTCGAGTCAAAGCTTTGGCGATGGGAAAGTAAGTTCCACTTGTTACGACTCACACTTTTCGTGGCCCGATTCATTGTTCATTAAATTTGGTTCACAATGTCTGGTCGGCGCCAGTGCCTTGGCAAAGGCTTCGCCATCCCTACACTCGGCTTCACCAACCACCTTCAAGTTTCCTCTACCAAGTTCTCCTTATCATTATACCACGACCGCGCTATTTCACGCTCGTCGCCGCTGCCTGCTGCATCCGTCGCGACACCTTCCTCTACTTCGCTCCTGCTGCGAGCTCAGACAAGCTCGTCCAACCCCGCGTTTGGCCTTCCAGCAAATGCCGACGCTGGTCTTCATCGGTTTCTTTCTCCTTGCATTCAGAAGTCGGCGAGATCTGGAACAGCTGACAAAGTGCAATATGTTGGGATTATCGCAGAGGGCTCCGCGGTCAAGCAGCGGTTTGTGTGGTGCAGTGTGTTCGTGGTCTTCATGTCGCTTGGCGGCTGACATTGTCGTTCTCGGCGTTTTCGGCCCGGGAGAGTTTCCTCTTCGCCAATGGGCCCATCGTGATGCCTCTGACCTCAAACGGCTGAATTTTTCGCTGCGCACTGTCCAATGCACTCGCCGTGGTACACCAAAGCATGATCGACTCGCCCCTGCTCTTGACCGTGTGTCTGGTCAACATACCCAAGGTCCCAACATCGGCTACCAGAACTTCAGAGACACGCTAACGCAGGGCAAGTTGCCGTATGAGAGGATGAACAGAGGAAATGAGAGCAGACAGCCACGGAGAGGAGCTACAACGGGCCACACTCACCACCCCAAGCTAACGCACGACACATCTTCACCCTCTCACCCACCGCGAGCCTCCCGATATCCCTCCCTCCTTTCCCTAAGTGCCGACTCGTAGAATCTTAGGATTCAGATAGTCGGACTGGCAAGATTTCGTTGGCTCCTGGGTTGGACTTTTGTTTCTCTTCCACTTGGAGAAGATCTCAAGCTCAACGCTCCAGCCGACTATGAAGAGTCGAGGGGCCTGGATGGGCTTAATTTTATTCATCGACACACCTCCGTCATCACATCTGGCGAGAGTTTCTGCGCATCTGGCTTTCAAATTATCGCGAGTTGGGGGTTTTAGGCGCGCGTTTAGACTCGAAAATCGACTCACTATGACTTGTCCTCCACTGTGCGTTCGCGTTCTTAGGCTCAACGCTATACTCGAATTCACCCTGACCAACTGAAGGAATGATTTGTGCAATGCATTTGGAATTGCGGCTTCAGGAAATGCGTATCTACACTCACGGTTTAATGTACTCTTCTATTGGCAGAATTTTCAAGTGTTGCCGATAGTCCGCGCTTGGGCAGTGTGGAATCAACGTCGTGTGCCCACCGTTTCTCTTTGTGGCGTACTTCATCCCAAATCAACGATTCAAGTCATTGTCCTTCCGACTGCAAAATGTAGGAAGCCTCCCCGATTGATTCAGTTCCTCATGATCCACTGTCCTAACTTCACTTTAAGCCTGCAGACTTCAGAGGTAAACGGTTGTCGTGAGATCGGCGTCGTTACTAAAATGGAGCACCAATAAGTCATTATCCTTATATTCTTTCTTTTCATTCCATTCTCAAGTTCCTCTAGTCATGAGCCTTACGAGTACTCGGGCAGTCAAGCTTCAAGGATCGCTATTCTCCGCTCGTTATTCACCTGATAACTGAGACTTGTCCTTTTTTCATACTCCTAATTGTCAGCTTCGTATGTCGCCCCTTCCGTACCACATGCTTGTGAGGTGCTGATGCTTATCCCAACAAGGTGCCAGCGATGTGACTTACCCACATTTAGGATGACACGTTGCGTGCACTGTCCTCACGAGACGCGCGCTCTTGCACATATGTCCGCGCTGGCGTCGGCGAAAGCATGCAGTGAGTGATCAACGCCGACAGGAAACAAGGCCTAATATCTCCAGAAGAGTTGGCGAGTACTACGCACCCAGCTTCATCCTTTTCATTCCTAGCATTGATTTCTACCTCTACTAGGCAGATTGTAATAGAGTGAGTCCGGACGCTGCTCTTTGCAGCATGATTCCCAACTTGGGAAAAGTATGCATCTCCGCCGACTCGGGCCCTTGTTCTGGAGTGAGTTGTGGAGAACATTCTAGCGAAGAAATGGCATGGAAGACGATGAAGCCATTGACAAGGATATTGTTCGAGGACTGCTTGTTCTGTGCATCGAGGCGATAGTGAGGCGGAAGTGTCCTTCTCTTCGATGACATCTGTGATCCTTCAAATTTCGGAGACAAGCGTCACCGTGTGCAATATGGTATTGATTCGAAGGATGAGGCAAGCAAATGAGGTGCGGAGTCGCTTCGAGGAGCCCTAACGAAAATCCAGAGAATAGCATCGAGTGGTCTCCCATCGTAATATTTGACAAAATAGTGAAATGCTTACTGCTGGATAGAAAAAGACGCCGGCGTATTTTTGGACGGGTTTACGGTGGCGGTGCACAGGTAGCTTTCCCCGATCAAGGCGTTCTACTCAGCATCCTGACAGCTGCAGGAACTTGAATGCGAGACACATGATCTGGAGAATAAATGGTGCATTGCATATTCCAGAGTAGATTCTTTCGGGACATTTTAACATTTGCTCTCCCTTTGGGGCATGGGATTAGGAAGAACAAACCTCGGCCAATCAATACATACATTCAGGTATTCCACCCTCGGGTTCATGCTCCTTAAGAAATTAGCGTAATTGTATACTGGCATTTTCCCCGTTGGCTAAAGGCGATTTACATGAACTTCTAGTCCGGCTCGATTAAGAAACCAGAGTATTCGATAACAATCTGCACGTCGCGGGGGTTGCCGTTCTTTGACGGCCTTCTTCCGGAGAATACAATCTCCTACACGAAGGGTTGTACGGACCTATGGTTTTGTGTTGTAAATAAAACGATTCCATGTCTCGCTTGAGGTGCTTGAGCGGCGACACTCCCGCTTGATTGAAAGCTCGCCTGAAATACTTACATACTCGCCATTGCCTCGGGACGGAAACACGTCGCGTGTCCTGATCGCGTGCGTTGACAATATGAAACCGAGGTAGGTAGTGATCCGGACTTACAGGAAAGAAGAACAGAAGCGCGTCGAGACATGATGCGACCTGTCTAGTACCTCGTTGAATATGCGTCCAAATATTCGAGGCAAAAAAAAAGACTTTTGCAGGAGTATAAAGGAGGATTGCACTCGCAGAGAAACCTCATTCTCGCAACCTACGCGAGAATTCGAGTTCCAGTCATGAAGACCACCTCTTTCGCCCTCTTCGCCCTCACCGCTGTGACTCAAGTGTTGGCGGCAGCCACTGGCACTCAAAGCGATGCGGTAAAGAATTTCCCCAGAATTATGACACTCTTTCAAAAATACTCATATTTCTCTACTATCCTTACAGGACCGAGCACTCGCTTGCGCGTCGCCCTCGACGGCGGTGCCCCTCTTGCGAGGCTACAATGGAAACTGGCGCGACCATTTCTACACCGCCGACCGCAACGAGATGAACAACGCCGTCAGCAACATCGGGTACACCGCCGAAGGCACCGCGGCGTATGTGTTCCCTGGCACTACCGGCAGTGATGGAACCACGCCTTTCTATCGCCTCTGGAACCCCACCCACACCGACCACTTCTACACAACCTCTGCCACGGAGGTGTCCAGCGCCGTCCTCCAGAATGGATACGAATACGAAGGAATTGCCGGCTACATCTACCAGAACGCCAACTGCGGCGGCGTCCCACTCTTCCGCCTCTACAGTGGAAGCAGCGTCGATCACTTTTACACGACCTCCGCGAGCGAGCGCGACAATGCGATAAGGAATTTGGGGTACAATGATGAAGGCGTTTCGGGATATGTTTTGCCAGTTTAGGGGAATTTAGGATCACGAACGGGCAAGTCGAACGGCTTCCACGAACAGCTGGGTTGTTCATATGGTGAAGGTGGAAGTAACTACAATGGGTCATGTAGCACATAGTCCATGTTTATTTACATAACGTGCCCTCTCCAAATGTTTGTGATAAGTGCAAAGGTTGTCGAGGCATAAGTAGTCCGAATACGGGTCCTTGATTGATAGGTGTTACATCAGCTGCGCCACAGCATGATTACCGCATGGGGATTCCTCATAGTCAGAATCTTGACGTGACTAAAACACCCCGATAGTATAGTTACAAAAAATTGACGTTCCCATTCGTTATTCCCCAAATCTTGACTCGTCAATCTTTCAGCTTCAGAGCGTGCCCATAGAACGCAAGTTCCCTCTTATAAGAACCGGGCATGTTGTCCTCCTGACGCCACCCGGGCCCCTCCTCGAGGTAGAACTCATAGTCCACGCCACACCGCGTTCCTGTAGATGGCCTGAAGAATCTGCTGACACCACCGTCGCTCTAGCCATGCAATGGTTGTGGGTACAGGCGTCGGAGGTGTTATTCATAGTTTGAACCCCGATGTATTGCTGATACCGACGTTTAGCCGAACAGGGTACGTTGAATGGGTGGGACACAGGAGCAACAAGGGCGGTAGTTGTCGTTTTTCCATAACTGTACGTATGCTTGCATCTCCTTCGAGTTGCAGTCCAGCTGATGGCCTTCGTCCCAGCACTTCACGTTCTGGTAGCGGGTTCTCATAGCAGCGAACGAGAGAAGCTTCGGGATACATAGAATCCACTAGATGGATAGATGGATATCAGAAGAGCTGAGCCGATGGAAGAGTGGGTCGGCATACGTACTTCGTGTATCTCCTTCCACTATTGATTCGGCCTCCGCTGCAGTCAAGCCTCTTGGATACTGGCGAGCTCTTGTCGTCGCAAGGCGATGACATCATGCTCATGTTCGTATTCCTCGTCTTGCGGCAGGAGAGACAACGTATGGGATTCTTGTTCGTTTGCTGAACATTGAGGGAAGATAGGACACCACCAGGGTTTGTTGGCATCTTCGTTTTCGGGCCGCGTTCTCGTGAACGATGCCGTCTTGTGTCTAATAGAAGGGACTGAGAACATCGACGGCGTTCAGACAGTGGTGGGTAGGTGATGACATAATCAAGCTAGGTCATAGGTGTGCGTTGAGGCATTCGTCTGTCAGGCATAGACAGGGGAGGGGGGGGCTGCAACAAGTGATGTGTACTTGAGTTGCTCCTGGAGTTCGCCCCACGCTCATGCAGCTCGACTGTATACTAGTTATGCGAGATGCGCCACGGAAGGCCTGAAAGGAAAGAACCCCAAAGGAAAGAAACGGTCGATCCAGTCGCAACAAATAGGATACGCACTTGCATCGTGTCGTACGTGCATGTCGTGCGTGCGTGTCGCTTCTTGAGGCTAGAGATAATAAGGATGCGTAAAAATCGAACCTCATAGGTACATACCAAAATATTGAGCTTATTGGGGTGTGCGACATTTTACTTCGCCGAGTGGCGAGCACTGCTCGGATACACGAGAAATTCTGCATCCGAAACCTAGTTGGCGCGAGTAGGCTTTCCATATCATAACAAACGAGCGGTCGAATCAAGGTTGAAACGTTGAAGGGATAAATACCGGGTGTTAGCAGTTGGTGGCTGTGCCGACCTCCCAACGACACTGAGAAGAAACCGTGAACCCTATCTTAACAAAAACTAGTGGGAGGTAAGATAGAATATCTATAATGTTTTTAAATCACAAAAATTACAGGTAGAAAAGACACAGACCAAGGTATGATCTTATCGTCTCGAGTCACGACATGCAACAATTTTACCTCGCCGAGCGGCGAGAAACCTTCCGAGACGCTTCAAATCAAGTATTCGGGGTCTATTTGGAACACGTAAGCTTAATCTATCATAAAAGCAGGGAGTTGATCATATGAATACCGTACACAGACATTTGATGGTTGGTGGTTTGCTCGCAGAGACCTCGAAAAGGAGCGACAAACGGGATGGTCATAAAGGTTACTGAGAGGGACGAGAGTGTAGTCAACAATCTTTTCGAGTCATAAAATTGGACCACGAAAGGACCGTACCAGAGCATTGATGCTATTCTTACAGAGCACGATACGCGACATTTTACCTCGCCGAGCAGCGAGAAGTGACCAGACAAGCTTGGAATTGGACATGCAAGGTGCTTTTAGTATCCATCAGCTTTATGTGGCATAAAATCGAGGGGTTCATAAGATGGATGGCGCATATGGACCTTGACTATGATGTGGGGACTAGCGGACAGTGGCGATAACGTTCGCGAAAGGGTTTTTAAGCAGGAGATCTGTTACGTGTATGAGTAGAGACAATGGGCGTAGATACACAAGCTTACCACAAATTGGCATCATAGCGGACGTTCGCGCTGCGAACTATAAGTCCCTCTGCACTTCCCCACTTCCACAGATCTCCAAGAATTCGCGTTCAACACTTCCGGCGTGTGTACTCCACTGAGACAAGGTTGTGGGTTTGCCGGCCTCTCCAGCAGATATGACCATTCAAGGCAGTACAAGCAACGGCTTTGACGGAGGTAGACAGTACGATCTGAGAGCATTGGCGAACAAGTGGTGAGCTGAGCGATGGTGTCACGGCGGATGTACAACCATCGTGACGTGTGACGTGTTACATAAATTTCTTTTTCCGCATACTATGTACAATGGACGGCAGCCTTCGATTTTTCAGCCGGTAGCGTATTTGAACTGGGCTAGCGCGTCTCACCAGGATGAGTGTTTTGAGAGGTGGCGCAGGGAGAGTAGCACACCCTGGCCAGCCTGCGATTGGAGGAGGAAACGCATTATTATGCGTGGCTTCGTTGCTTTGCCAGGTGATCTAGAATTCTCCACCGCATTCAACTATCATTTCGCCCACTTCAGTCCAGCCCCCCGGTAGTGATTTCAACAAGGGTTAGAGGGTCTACCTAGGGTAATTTGTGTCTAGAACTGTTTCAGAGTCTATCTGATGTACTTAATCGCCATTCTATAGTCCAAAAATGTTCTATGGCTAGGAAATGTACACCTTGAAATATTGGCCTCTTGGCACACAAGTCTGCATCGAGTGCAGCGCTGGTAAAGTGGATTAATTAGATCTCTCGTTGTTCATTGACTAGCCTTTTATACTACAAATAATCCTGTACGCTAAGATATTACTATACTATTTTCTACTTTGTAATTTATGAGTAAGAGATGAATAAGAAATAAATAAACTTAGCCTTTTCGTGGACTATAGGTGGCTGTGCGCTTAGTCATCGACCGAAATGACTCGCACGCGTGGCGCCCCTCCACTTGATCTTGAACGTGATGGGAAAGCGGCGCAAACTTTCCGACCTTACTGACCAGGAGACCGCAACTGTGGTAAACCTCCTGAAGAGGTTCCAGCTTGAGCTCGATGAGGACGATGAAGATGGTCAAGAGGTTGTCCACGCCTTACAGACAGTGGTGAGGAAGTTTAGCGAACTGAAAGTGAGTTTTGTACCCTACAACATGCTATGTCGACCACTAAACGGTTTCTTAAAGCATGTTCCCTTTTCCGATGCCACTGTATTGACCCTCACTCAAGCGAATATTAAAGTTGAAGTATTAGAGTGGAACAGCGATGGGAGGAGTCAAGCGCAGCACCTCGGTGGCAAGACAGCGCCAAATGCGTTGTCCCTCGACGAAACCACGAAGCAGATTGGATACATCCGAAAACATATTGCGTTCGAGGTCAGTCAGATCCTCCATTCATCGGAATGCTCATGTTTGATTCTGCGCCTTAGACTGAAGCTGGCTGCCGAATCTTGATTAACGCTGTCATGCTGCATGCCGTTACGAACCTTGACACGTCGGCTACTGGTGTCGCCATCGCCCCCGAGTTCCGTATTCCCTACACGGCATTGGATTCTGGGGGATCATCTTATGCAGGAGCTGTCGATTATTTGATGGCTCTTGGAAAACCTTCAGTCAGAGGTATACTTTTCGTCAGCAAGACTGTTGTCATATCTGATGATTTCTAGATGCCATTGTGCTATCCCCCCAGTTGGCCTTCACCGACGCCAAAATCCACCGATTGCTGACCTGCAGCATTTACGAAGCAAAGCCTGAAAAAGTCCTCCCTGCTTTGCCCCAAGTTGTTATGGAAGCGGTCATCCAGTCCCAACGATTCGAGTACTTCGAGCTTTCCTTATTGAGATCTGTACTGATGCATGAATTAGGTTTACAACCTTCCGAGGTTGCGTCACAACTGGTGAAGAATGGCTCTTTTTTATTTACAACAAGAACCAAGATGGCCCCGGGGGTAGCGCATCTTATCTGCCCCCAATCCGCCTGGAGCATGACCTCAGCGGATTACCTTTGATTCTTGGTTTGCTATACGACTGGGTATGTTCCATTTAAACCAGAAAGTTTAACCTTTTGAATTATTGATCCCACATGATAGATTGAGAACGGGCAGCAAAAGACCCTTAAACTCTGTAAGTATCCCAACTAGTTTTCCTTATCACGACATACCTCCTTGTTGTCCATACTATATGAATCCCTAGTCCAATGATTTGTACCATTTGTGTGAATATAACTCAAGTTGCGGGACACGTTCTTGCGCCCCATTGATAGTGGGAGCTTGCTTAGATCTTCTAGAGTCTGATAAGGACGATTATTAAACGCCAGACAGTTCTCGACGGGGAACGCGTACCGGTTCAAGACCACTTTTGATGACAGGTAATTTCGCGATACGCTTTCTCCTGCTCATCCTGGTGGATGGCGAGGAAGGTAATTGTCGCCGCTGGTACCAACGCAGTCGTTTCTGAAGGGAGACTCAGTGTCTATAGCATAGAGGTTTGTGACAAAACGATACCGACCTAGCCACCAAAGGCCCGCTACAACGGACTAGACTATTTACGACTCACATCGGGTTCTATCTGGGGAGCCTATGCTCTGGGGTATATGCTTGGTTTGCGGGGGCGCAGCCGAGCTACCAGGTTGGGTGCTCGAGCCGGGAATTCGTGTCGTATTGGAATACGGTGAAGCAGCAGTGTTATCTGTTCCAGACCGCTCAAGGCGGGTACAGTGTTGTTTGTGGGAACAGTGCCGGGACGACATATACTTGTCTGCAGAGCCAGGGGTACACTCCTCAGCTGATGCCCATTTCGTTCGCTTGGTCATGAATGCATGAAGCTTTAGGCTCACGTTGATTTATCTGCCTTGGTACGAAATTTTTATTCACCACATGTACATATGTTCAATATCGCTCCGTGTACGCGCCTTATTTATGTGTTACCACTCGCCGCTCATAGTCAACCGCAAAACATCCGGATGCTCTACGCATTGCTCAATGAAGGTATTCCCCAGTGATGCCATCTATCAGATAATTCGTCAGTCGAGCTCATCAAGACCTTCTTCATCCTCCTTATCCTCGAAATCAAAAAAGCGGCCCCCAATCCGGAACAGATCGCGCCACTCCGGAAAGACATGAGCGCCAGGCCTAGGACACCCGTCGTCCGCACAATGGAATTTCCCTGGGAAGAACGATGCATCAGCAAAATGTCCCGCTATTTACGAGGCTCCGTAGACCCCGCACGGAATGACCGAGCATCTTCAGCCCGGGCGCTGGCTCATGCTCCGCATAGAACTCCTCAGAGTCGTCTTGGTCCCACATCAGCTCCTCGTGGAGCGTCTCTTCCTTGCCCAGCGCCCACGTTTCTAGCAAACGCGGGGAAGGAAGAGCGGCGCCGTGGGGTACATCGCGGGTGTATGCATGACGTCGGCTAAGCGCAAGACCCAGGAGCGCCGTGAACTTGAACGCTTTCCTTCCTCCTGCTCAAGAGGCTATGTTACCGCCCTCGCTCACAACTTGCCCGTACCGCATCCATCGCCCGTAACCAATTTTCTATAGCCATCACACCTGTGGGAGAAGCCTTATCTGACAGGTCTGTGAGAGGTTCCGAGTGACTCGGAAGGGGACAGAGGCGGTGTGCAGAGAACCAGAACGCGGAAACGAGTACTAAAGGCGCCAGACTGGGCTGAGAGGCGGCGGCGACAAGAAGAATTTGAGGAATTTTGCGTCGACCTGGACGAGCCCGGAGGACGGAGACTTCAATGAGGGCTGGTGGGAGCATACGGTGGCGGGTTGGCAGGTGAACTGTTGGATTCGGGCATCAGTGAATGTAAAATCCGGCTGGAGGATTATGCAGGAACGCCACCGAGGATAATGAGTTGGAGGGGTGAAGTACCGGCTGAGTCGGAGAGCGGATACAACAAGGAAGACAGGTTGGAGAACGAGTTGGCAGCCGGAAACGTCTTCTGCATGGAGCTAGAGAGTAGAGACGTTGATTAAAGTGGGGAGACGAGGAGCACGACAGACAAGATGGAAGACAAACACGTCGACGGGATGTAAGGCATGGCGCCGCGACTGAGGTTAGGGGGAGATGACGGGCTAATCGAGAGGTCTATACTGTACTGGGCGCGCATCATTAGAGAGGGCGACTCCTCTTGCCGGGGAGGGCTATCGTTGATGACGGTGCAAGCGAGTCTTGCAGACGCCGAAGTTGGTGACAAGAGGGGTTTCAAGGCCGTTATGGAACCAGACGAGCAGTGCAGGAGGCACTGTCATCTTCTTGGAGCGTCCAAGCGATAAGTTGAGTGTCATGCTTGCTCGCCATGAGAGCACCGCGAACCGTCATCGTCCCTTCAGCGAAGAAGTAGCTGCAGAAAGAAGAATATTAAACATGAAGCATAAACGTGGAGGCTTGAAGAATGGCAAATTACTGACCTCTTGACGGCTCAAAATTATGATTCACTCGACACAAGAATGAAACTGGAGAGTCCGTACGGACCCTGCTCTCGTCAGAGGCTCGCTGAAAGTTGATCCAGCATCGAGGGATAGACAGATGAGAGCTTGATACAGCCAGCTTGTACATCGTATGTCGTACAAAACGCCATGTCAAGAGAACGGAACGAGTGGTCGTCGGGGAATGCGTAAGGAAATTTAAGATATCACATGTCACGCCTCTCTGCATGGTTCACCGTGACACCTCACACAGGCTCAACGCCGCTTGCTCGCCAATCCTCATACTGTCCACCTCCACCCTCAGAGCTGTTCCTTGTGCCCTGACAGCCTTTCCGGAGCAGGCTGACGAAGCCGCCCAACCTTGGCTCAGTGGAATACACGCATCAAATTTGTCGAACGCATGTCGCAGGAGATGGAGGTGGGAAGTGCAGTGGGTTTACAGTGATTCGCAGCACGAACGTCGTCTTGCTGTCAATTCGCGGTAAGCTTATAGATCTGCAACATTTTTTTTCTCCTCTTACACGTAGCAGGTGTCCTGCTTAAAAGCCCTTTCGCGAACGACATCACATCACTACCACTGGTCCGCCCAATGGTACGTCATAGTCAAGGTCCATATGCACCATCCATCCTCTCTACCCCTTTATTTTCCGTCACAAAAGGCTGATGAACACCCAGTACAGCTCGCATGTGCAATTTCAAGCTTGTCTGGTCATTCCTCGCTGCTCGGCGAGGTAAAATGACCGGTATCGTGCACTGGGAAGATAACATCGATATTCCGGTATGGCCCTTTCGAGGTCAGATTTTTATGACTTGAAATGATTGTTTACCGCACCCTTGTTCCTCTCAGTAGCTTCTGTGGGCATCCCGTTTGTCACTCCCCTTCGGGGTCATTGCGAGCAACACCCTCAGCCGCCAAATGTCAAAATTCGGTATTCATGCCCTTAACTCCCTGTTTTTTTCTCCTAGATAAAGCTTACCTGTACACAGTAGACCTCATATGCTTGATTTCAAGTGTCTCAGGACATTCCTAGCTTCCCGGCGAGGTAAAGTGTTGCAAGTTGTGCCCCGAGACGATAAGGTCATACTGTGGTGTGTACCCTTTCTACCTCTGCTTTTTACGACTAAAAAAACACCATAGCTATCCCATTCTCCCTCCCAGAAGTTTTAATGGTTCTCCGACTCATGGTTTCTGCTCAATATCGTTAGGAGTGCTGGCACAGCCACCGACTGTCAACACCCGGTATTTATCCCTTCAACTGCCCGTTTTTTTACGCTATGTAAAGCTTACTCCCACCGAGTAGGTTTCGCATGAGGAATTTCCTGTCTACCCGAACAATTTTGGCCGCACGGCGAGGTAAAGTGTCCTACAACCACCTATCATATAGTACTTATACTGACTCCGATTCCAACCACACTTCAGCTCTCACCTGCCCACGAGCAAGGCACTCAACAAACAACGCCCGACAAGCCTCGGATTCCTGCTACCTTCTCCTGACGTTCAATGGACGAACGAGAGCCCTCTGCGTTGATTCTTCGGGTACAAGACTGGGAATACGAATATCAGTCCTCCGCCATCGCCTTGCAAATACGAGAACACAGCAGTATCCATGAGGTTTGATGGCGGCGGCGAGAGCCACGAGCGATCGGAATGAGTGGCGGTGGGACATACACGAAGTACGTATGTCGATTCGCTCTTTCGTCAGCTATTCTGATGTCCATCCCATTTAATTATAGCCCCACCTCCTCTCGTTCATTGCTACGAGTGCCCACTACGAGGCTTGGAACAATGACCATCAGCAGGACCACAGCCCAAAGGAAGTGCAAGCCTACGCACTGTTCCCGAACGACAACTCCTCGCGTCGCTCCTGTGTCCCACCTGCTCAACATCGCACATGATAGTTGTCCGGCTGAACGTCGGTGTCAGCAACGCATTGAGGTCCTAACCATGAAGACGGTCTCCTTGATGTCTCTATTCGATATAGAACTGTACGTTCAATGATCGCAGCACCAAGGATTAGACCTCTGATCTTCCTCTTCTAGCCTTGCTTCTCAACTACTTCCTTACTGGCTCCCTTGGTCCTTTCGACGGAACATCGCAAAATGTACACACCACACCTGAGGCCTTCAAGTCGCATCGGGAGAATTTCCAGATTAAATCGACGTGCAGTAGACCTTCCTATCTAGACCTATGAAAGATCAACTGGCATCGGTACTCACTGGTTTAGCCGATTCATTACGATCTCCCTTACGCCCGTTCGACGGCTCTCAAGGCCAAAGTTCTTACCAATCCCCAGAACCCTTCGTGGCCGTGAATCTCAACGCATATATCACGGAGAGCTTCAAGTTTTCACGCCTTCGGAACTCGCCAAAACTCGCAAGACAGCCGCTCTGTCTTTCTCGAGATACTGAATCAAAGACACTATACGCTGCAGCTTCTTCTCGAGCTACTAGAGTATCACTGATGGATGGAACTACATCATAAGCAACTTCGCGTAGCAGTCACTTCCTTTGAGCGGCGAAGTCGTGCGGGCGATCAAACACATCAATCATATAACGCCTGGGGTGGTAGCGGTACGCGTTTGATCTTCAAACGCCTGACGGAATATATCTCGAGCTAATTCTGACCTGAAGCTGCCGTACCGTCCTGGGATCACCCCTGCCACTGTACCATTTAACGACACGGCGTCCTAGCGTGCCAACCACGGTGTCGCCATCGATGGCACCAACAACGTCAACGCATACGCTAGCTCTTCAAACTCCTCAAGCTCCTCCAATACCCTGGAGCCGCTGACCAAGTTCCGACAACGGCCACCTATATCTGCGACTCACTAAAGGCCCGTCAACATCATGCTCAATACATCGTCACTGCCCGATGTCGTCCTGTCTGGCCTACAGCCCACCCTTCCTCCTTTCAACGGTAGCTGGAGTGTGGCACTTCTCGGCTAATGACGACTGGCTATAGTTAGCACCGTGCTTCGATCCTCCGCCCTGAGACTGCAACTTTCAACAACGTTGAACTTTGTCAAACTTGGAGAAGAATGTCGAACGGATCAGCTCCCTATCGCACTGCCGGACGCTGCACTTTTCGATCCGAAAAAAATTGTAACTGTGTCGAATGGCAGGTATGTAAATGGGTTAGCCAATTTTCTTACGTCTCTGTGCTGAGTTGAACCCTCTCCAGGTGTGCTAGTTCGTGTTCGCTTTTCAGCGTATGACTTCCGCCCCTCTTTCGCGCCCGTGTCACAGCTTAAATCCGTTATTAAGCTAGACAGATGGATAGAGAAATTGGAGGTTCTAAATAATGTGGGATCTTCTTGAAAGGGGAAAAGAGGTAAGGTTGATCAAGAGACCGACACTGAATTGCACAAGTTCCGAAGGAACCAGGGTGGCTGTAGTCATCTAAGCAAAAAACCCTCTCGAGCCGGAGTAGGACTTTATTTCGTTCTAATGCTTTGGATGACCTTTCCAGAAAATACTCAGAGCTCCAGCTTCTCCCTCCTTGGAGTGAGCTCGACGTAAAATTGGCGGCTACTCTCGCTCAAAGAACCGAGCGACGAATTTGGTTTTCTAA